CATACTGCTCAAAGTAATTTATAGATTCAATGCTATACCCATTAAACTACCATTGACATTCTTCACAGAATTAGAAAAAACTATTTTAAAATTCATGTGAAACCAAAAAAGAGCCCATATAGCCAAGACAATCCTAAGCAAAAAGAACAAAGCTGGAGACATCACCCTACCCAACTTCAAACTATACTACAAGACTACAGTAACCAAAAGGGCATGGTACTGGTACAAGAACAGACACATAGACCAATGGAACAGAATAGAGAACCCAGAAATAAGTCCACACACCTACAACCATCTGATCTTCAACAAACATGACAACAACAAGCAATGGGGAAACGATCCCCTATTTAATAAATGGTGCTGAAAGAACTCGCTAGCCATGTGCAAAAAATTAGAAACTGGACCCCTTCATTACACCTTATACAAAAATTAACTCAAGATGGATTAAAGACTTAAATGTAAAACCCGAGGCTATAAAAACCCTAGAAGAAAACCTAGGAAATACTATTCAGGACATAGGCACAGGAAAAGATTACATTACAAAAACACTGAAAGCAATGGCAACAAAAGCAAAAATTGACAAACAGGATCTAATTAAACTAAAGAGTTTACGCACAGCAAAAGAAGGGCTCCCACAACCTACAGAATGAGAAAACATAATTGCAATTTATTTATCTGACAAAGGTTTATTATCTAGAGTCTATAATGAACTTAAACAAATTTACAAGAAGAAAACCCACTAAAAAGTGGGCAAAGGACATGAACAGATGCTTCTCAAAAGAAGACATTCACATGGCCAACAAACATATGAAAAAAGCTCAACATCACTGATTGTTAGAGAAATGCAAATCAAAACCACAATGAGATAGCATTTCATGCCAGTCAGAATGGCAATTATTAAAAAGCCAAGAAACAACAGATGCTGGTGAGATTGTGGAGAAAAAGGGATGCTTTTACACCATTGGTAGGGACGTAAATTAGTTCAACCATTGTGGAAGGCAGTGTGATGGTTCCTCATGATTTAGAAGCAGGAATACTATTTGACCCAGCAGTCCCATTACTGGGTATCTACCCAAAGGAATATAAGTCATTCTATTATAAAGATACATGCATGCAGCCTGGGCACTGTGGCTCATGCCTGTAATCCCAGCACTTTGGAAGGCCAAGGTGAGTGAATCACAAGATCAGGAGTTTGAGACCAGCCTGGTCAACATAGTGAAACCCTGTCTCTACTAACAATATAAAAATTAGCCCGGCATGGTGCTACACACCTGTAGTCCCAGCTACTCAGGAGGCTGAGGCAGGAGAATCACTTGAACCCAGAAGACGGAGGTTGTGATGAGCCAAGATATGACTGCAGTGAGACTCCATATCAAAAAAAAAACAAAACACACACACACATGCATGCATATGTTCATTGCAGTACTATTCAAAATAGTAATGACATAGAGTAAACCCAAATGCCCACCAATGATAGACTGGATAAAGAAAATGTGGTATGTATACACCATGGACTATGCAGCCATAAAACGGAATAGATCATGTCCCTTGCAGGGACATGGATGAAGCTGGAAGCTTTATCTTCAGCGAACTAACACAGCAACAGAAATCCAAATACCACATGTTCTCACTAACAAGTAGGAGCTGAATGATGAAAACACATGGACACATGGCGGGGGAACAACACACACTGAGGCCTTTTGGGGCTGGGATTGGGGTGAGGAAGAGCATCAGAGAGAATAACTAATGGATGCTGGGCTTAATACCTAGGTTATGGGTTGTTCTGTGCAGCAAATCACCATGGCACATGTTTACCTATATAACAAACTTGCACTTCCTACACATTACCCCAGAACTTAAAAGTTGAAGAAAAAAAAACTATTCACCTTTTCTGTTACAGATAATTTTTTTTTAAATACCAAGGATAGCCGGGCATGGTGGCTCATGCCTATAATCCCAGTACTTTGGAAGGCCAAGGTGGGTGGGTCACCTGAGGTCAGGAGTTCGAGACCAGACTGGCCAACATAGTGAAACCCTGTCTCTACTAAAAATACAAAATATTAGCCAGGCTTGGTGGCAGCTGCCTGTAATCTCAGCAACTCAGGAGGCTGAGGCAGGAGAATTGCTTGAACCGAGGAGGTAGGGGTTGCAGTGAGCTGAGATTGTGCCATTGCACTTCAGCCTGGATGAAGAGTGAAACTCCATCTCAAAAAATAAATAAAAATAAAATATCAAGGATAGAGCACAATATTAAAAGTAAGAGGTTCCTAAGATTTGTAGAACAGTGATGCTATAGTGTAATAGTTCTTTATTTATTGCAGATCTGGTAACCTACAAATGATCTTCAAATCACCACTTAGCTATGCTATTTCTGGAGTAAGTCTTGTAAAATAGAGAAATTTCTATTATAGGTGCTAATTTGAATATTAACTTATTAAACAGGAAAAATATTAAATATAAGATATTCTAAGCAAAATCAGAGAGAGTGAGCCAAGGGAAATTTTTCACTCCTAAGAAAAGACAAAGATAAAAATCTTTAAATTTCTCTAGCTGAATTGAGTGAAAAATGATGTCTAAACTAGAGCTGAGTGTGACAAATTGCAAACCAAAGGGACTGATTATTGCCTCCAGAGACATTGTGCCTGCAATTCTGTATAAATTTTTCTAGATACTATAGTGTATCTGACGTATTTAAATAGCTGAGTTTTTTTCTAGAGTTAATAATTGAAGAATTGTAAGTTGAAATCATACAAGCTGTAAAGTTGTCTATAAAATACATTTATTATTAAAACAATAGTGTAATCATGAAGCAAATTAGACATGAAAGCAAGTGTGATTTCAAGAAATAAAATACTATCTGCAGTGAGAACAGAGAAGAACAAGGTGTTTTAACATCTTCCTCAGCTGTTTTCCCTGGGATTGGGGGTGGATTCTCACCTGGCTTCCCCCTGGGATTGATGGATTCTCACCTGGCTTCGCCTTGGCCTGCTTCCTTCCTGTCTCACCCTGAAGTTCTTTGCACAAACTTCTTTCAGGATGTGCCAGCTCTCCTTGTTGCTGCTTTGAGGCTTGACAGCCAAATAGCAAGTAATTCCCTTTAAACTGAAGATTTTCAGCTGCTATACTTGGCTTTCTTTTCTTGGTAGCCTAATTTAACTTTTTTTTTTTTTTTTTTTTTTGAGACAAAATTTTACTCTTATTGCCCAGGCTGGAGTGCAGTGACACAATCTCAGCTCACTGAAACCTCCATCTCCTGGGTTCAAGCAATTCTCATGCCTCAGCTTCCTGAGTAGCTGGGATTACAGGTGCCAGCCACCACACTCAGCTAATTTTTGTATTTTTAGTAGAAATGGGGTTTTGCTGTTTTGGCCAGTTTTGAACTCCTGACTTCAGGTGAGCCGCCCACCTTAGCTTCCCAAAGTGCTGGGATTACAGGTGTGAACCACTGTGCCCAGCCATAATTTAACTCTTTTTACTAAAATAGCCGTATGATCAGAGTCTGTTTCCATGTGTTTCTCCAATGGTACTTTCTTTTCTTTTCTTTCTTTCTTTTTTGAGACGAAGTCTCACTCTGTGGCCCAGGCTGGAGTCCAATGGTGCCATCTTGGCTCACTACAACCTCTGCCCTCCAGGTTCAAATGATGCTCCTGCCTTAGCCTCCTGTGTAGCTGGGACTATAGGCACACACCACCACACCTAGCTGATTTGTACGTTTGAACTGATATTAAACTCATGTGGCAATCATGTAGCCTGAAATTGTCCTCCTTCTTTTTGCTTCTACCATGTATGTACATCTCCTTCACTCTAGGAAACTCTTTCAAACAATAAGTTGGGTTGTTTCCTGTTTTGCTTTTGGTTTCTGCCATAACTGGGTGCCGGTGGGGAAGACATTAAAAGAGACAACCCTTCCCTGTTAGATTGAACAGGTTTTCTCTATTTTAGCAGAGCAGTACTATCATACTGAGCTGACGCTGAGCTGGCAGCCTCCTACCCGGCAGCCAGCAGAGCTCTGGCTTGATTTTTTTTTCTTTGTGGTAGCCATTGGTTTTGTTGTAGCGTATGATAAGCATGAACCAACTCACTTAACCAGTCTGGGCCTCAGTTTTCCCATTAATAAAATAAAGAAGTTTCACTGGATAATTGCTATGAATACTGCTAACTGGAAAATTCTGATTCCAAACCAGCTGTGTCTTTATAAAATGACATTTCAAATAAAGAATATGATTCTCTCGGTATAAAATATTTATATGATATTTGCATTTCATATGGCTAGCCTCACTTTTGAGCCATTTGCCATCATATATGTATTCCTCTTTCTTAGTCTTGGCTTTTTCTTCTTCTTTTTTCACGTTTCCTCCTGCTTCTCTCTCTTCTTCATCGCGTTTCATTATCTTGCTCATTCTTTGAAGCAAGTAACTAACCCTGCTGGCCTTTAAAATTGAACAAGTTTTATGTTAAAGACTAGCCCCACTGGGTGTGATGGCTCATGCCTGTAATTTCAGCACTCTGAGAGGCCAAGGTGGGAGGATCACGAGGTCAAGAGATCGAGACCATCCTCGCCAACATGGTGAAACCCAATCTCTACTAAAAATACAAAAATTAGCTGGGCATGGTGGCGCAGGCCTGTAGTCCCAGTTACTCGGGAGGCTGAGGCAGGAGAATTGCTTGAACCCAGGAGGCAGAGGTTTCAGTGAGCCGAGATTTTGCCACTGCACTCCAGTCTGGCGGCTGGCGACAGAGTGAGACTCTTGTCTCAAAACAAAAAAAAAAGAAGACTAGCCTAGCCCCATTCAGGAATCATGAGCTCTGCTTTCTACAACAATAATACTTATGTACTAATCCCTCAGGCTATTATATAAATGCCTCTTATATGAATACGTTGAGAGGTGGGCATGAAAGTAGCCATTATTTACATAAATAAAATGTTTAAAAATTACATGTAAATTTTACAAGATAAACTAGATTTTAAGATGCCAGTAGCTCTTGAATTATTATTTTAGGAGAGAGAATGCTGCAGTTTGGAAAGTGGTGCTTGGCATCAACAATCTGGACCATCCATCAGTGTTCATGCAGACACGCTTTGTGAAGACCATCATCCTGCATCCTCGCTACAGTCGAGCAGTGGTGGACTATGACATCAGCATTGTTGAGCTAAGTGAAGACATCAATGAGACTGGCTATGTTCGGCCTGTCTGCTTGCCCAGCCTGGAGCAGTGGCTAGAGCCTGACACGTATTGCTATATCACAGGCTGGGGCCACATGGGCAACAAAAGTAAGCCATTGTATTAGTAGTCCATTCTCATGCTGCTATAAGCACATACCTGAGACTGGGTAATTTATAGAGGAAAGGGGTTTAACTGACTCATAGTTCTGCAGGGCTGGGGAGGCCTCAGGAAACTTACAATCATGGCAGAAGGGGATGCAAACATGTCCTTCACATGGCAGCAGCAAGGAGAAGTACCAAGGAAAAGGGGGGAAAAGCCCCTTATAAAACCATCAGATCTCATGAGAACTCACTCACTATTATGAGAATAGCATGAGGGTAACCACCCCTGTGTTTTAATTACCTCCCACCAGATAGCTCCCATGACATGTGAGGATTATGGGAAATTCAATTCAAGATGAGATTTGGGTGGGAACACAGCAAAACTATATCAGCCAGGATCTTCAGGAGCCTAAGAAACACTGCGTTTATGTGGCCATAATTTCCCATTTTCTCTTACAAAAAGATAGCCACAAATGGTAAATACTTGGCCATGTGTCATACTTCCTCTGCTGTGCAAATCATAGACATTAATAATGAACCATGGCATTTAAAACTGCCAAGCTCAGATGCAACCTCAAAAATCCCTCTCCACACCTCAGAATCTATCTCCAGGAAGCTACTATCAATGTTTGGGAGCTTCCTTGCTGCAGGAGGAGACCGGTCAGTGAACTGTGGCTGGACTGTCTCTGTCTGCCTGCAGATAGCCCAAATCATTGATAGAGACAGTTGCTGGGAATCTCTGCAGTCAAGCTGCATGATCATATTTCCAATTCTATGTTATGATTTGGTCTTATCAACATCTGTAGCACAACCTATAAGTCCTTCAAGAAAGCATATTGATTTGCTATTTGCCTGTTTAAATTGATTTAAATTATTTGGCTCTGTAGATGACTTAAACATATAAAGCACATACAAATTAAAAAATGTGTACTATGTACTTACTCTCAACCCTTACAATGGACTCTTTCATTCAGTTTGACCTATTTAAAATTTAGAATAAAAATTGAATCAATGAGACTTCATAAAAAACTATAAGTGCTGCCTACTCTGACCATAGCCAGTATAATGCCATGGCTTTCAAGAATGATAATGTATATCAGCATTCTGTTACTGGCCTTGGAAATTGTGTATTTGAAGGATTTTTTTTCCTTAAAATTTAGTCAGATAAATTTTGAGCCGAGTTGAGCTTTTTGTCTATTTCATCAATTAAAGAATGGAAAGGAAAAGTCTACAGGCAGAAGTCAATGACTTTTTAAAAACAAACCTCACATGTAACAATTTTGAAGGCAATGTTAGACATGCTGTCACCATTCCTATGCATCTGTTTTTTTCAAAGCTATGATTAATACTGTAATTTAAGAGAAGAATATGCTTTATATTGTTTCTGCTTATATTACTCCTACAATATCCATTAAACTCAGAGAAATAGTGCAACATAATGCACACCCCACACATGTAGCATAGCATGAATTGAGCCCAGGAGACCAGTCTGGGCAACATGGTGGAATTCTGTCTCTACCAAAAAAAAAAAAAAAATAGCTTGGAGTGGTGGTGTATGCCTGTAGTCCCAGCTACTTGGGAGGCTGAGACAGGAAGATTTCCTACACCTGGAAGGTCTAAGCTGCAGTGAATCAAGATTGCACCACTGCCTGGGTGACAGAATGAGACCCTGTCTAAAAAAAAAAGGAGCAAAGGTCTACTGAATTCAGTCAGAAAGATCTGATTGATCTGACTATACCACTTTCAAGCTTACTATAAAATGGAAAAAAAAATAGCAACTGCCTTACTCACAGGATTTTTGTAAAGATTAAAGGCAATGAGACCCACTAGTGCTCAATAAATGTTAGCTATTGTTCTTATTCTTTTGACAACCCATTAAACTTCTACTGTCTGCATCCATTGATTTTTCTAAAAATGACTCTTTCTTCCAATAAGGTACCCAGTGATGCTTCATCATCACTGTTTAAAAGAAGAACAGTGTGTATAATTTTGCAGAATGGCTAAACAGCAAAAGATTCACACTGTCTTCCTTCAAGAACTCCATTGTCATTCTTCAAGAACTTTCAAGCAAGATGGAATTCACATATTCTCTCTGTCAATACCAAGGGATGGCTTTGTGCTTTTCAACATCTCTCTGTCATATCCTCTAAGATTAAAGGTTCTTACATCAAGTAATGGCTACTGGGGCACATGCTGAGACATACTATTTTCAAGAATAGAACAACCCTTCCCTATTAGATTGAACTTTAGCAGAGCAGGACCATCATGCTGAGCTGACGCTGAGCTGGCAGCCTCCTACCTGGCAGCCAGCAGAGCTTTGGCTTGATTTTTTTTTCTTTGTAGTAGCTATTGTTTTTGTTGTAGCATATGATAAGCATGAACCAACTTATTTAACCAGTCTGGATCTCAGTTTTCCCATTAATAAAAAAATTTCACCAGATAATTGTTATGAATACTGCTAATGGAAAATTCTGATCCCAAACCAGCTGTGTCTTTATAAAATGACATTTCAAATAAAGAATATGATTCTCTTGGTATAAAAATATTTATATGATATTTGCATTTCACATGGCTAGCCTCACTTTTGAGCCATTTGCCATCATATATGTATTATTCTTTCTTTTTAAAATTCAGTGCCTTTTAAGCTGCAAGAGGGAGAGGTCCGCATTATTTCTCTGGAACAGTGTCAGTCCTACTTTGACATGAAGACGATCACCACTCGGATGATATGTGCTGGCTATGAGTCTGGCACCGTTGATTCATGCATGGTAAGTTGCTTTCTGGTTACCAAGGAGATTCAGTTCAGCAGTAACTTCAGTGGATTCCTATAAACTCATTATCACTCAAATATGGCCCTCTGGAAACATGTTTTGAAAAGTGTTTGTTGCCAAATGTTTAATTATTAACAGCACATTTTCCTGCAGCGGGTACATGAGCAATCCCCCTAATTACGCCCATCCTCTTTATTCAGGGTACCTTCTACTGCCTCATCTACTTTATGGGGTACATCATCCTTGGTCAGCAACAGGAGAAAAATAATTGTTCCTGTTCATCTCATTCAACCACTTTAGTGGGTAGGTTAAATGAGGTTCTAAAGAGGAGCTAGTAGTGACCATGGCTTCCACCTGGCTGCCCCAGGAAGCAGGGCAGGCACCAGAGGACATTGTCAGCCATCACGGTGATGGCATTAAGGCATACATCAACACCTAACGTCCAGGGTGTGAGACAGGACTGCCTTTGTCTCGGGGTCATCACACTGGTATTGTCGCCACTTGAATGATATGTACTCACTTGATCGCCAGTATGTCCTCAAATATCACTGAACTCAACCTTTAGATACTCAGGATTCATGGCCATAAGAGTTTGTAGAACATATGAACATAGTAGTGTACAGATGTGTTTTTATTTAAACTTTATAGACACTCATCGAACATCATACTGGAAAGGATGGAAAAGTGCAAGTGCTCAAATAAGCTTATAACAAAAACTGAGGATGACAGTTATTATACTATGCAGTTGTGAAGCACCTTCGTTATTTTACTACTTTGGAGTAAATTGCCCCCTATAGTTTAGTAATGAAGATACAATAATGCTCTTAATAACTCAATGTAAATAAATTATATTTTTGAGGATCCATTTTAGAATGGAAAAATCAGGGTATTGAAAATGGCCCTGTGGTGATACCTTAGACAGTTGTCATGGGGAAGAGGGAGGCAGACAGCTCTCTTGGTGTTTTGCTGAGACCACCCTCCTTTCTGCCTCATGGCCACAAATCATCCTGATGAGGTGGGTGTTGGTAAAGGAATCCCTCCCTTCTGTACAGGAGGACCAGGTTTGATTTTTTCAGGCCCAGAATAAAGTGTTGTAGGAGGCAGCATGATGTGGGCATGGGGCACAGGACTGGAAGCCTGAAAGATCTGGGTTGGAGCTCATCTCTGTCAGTAAGACCAGTATAACCCAGGGAAGTTATCTAACCTCTCTAGATAGCTTTCTCATGAATAAAATGGGGCTAATTCTGTCCCTTTTCCAGGGTGTTTTGAGGATTAACTGCGTTAATGTATCTTCGAAAGCCCATATCTTTCACATATCTGTATATCTGGCACATACTTAGACATCCAATGAATAGTAATTACACCAATATTCAAATACTTAGACATCCAATGAATAGTAATTACACCAATATTCAAATCTATCAGTTTCTATCAGTTTAGTGCTTATTATGTTTCAGGCTGTCTGCAAAATGCTTTTTGCAAACTCATTTAATTATCATAATCAACCCACATGGCGGTGTCTTTATTTTTCCTAAACAGATCGAGAATACAAGAGGTTGAGTAATTTGCCCCAGATCAGCCATCATGAAGGTGGAAGAGGGAGGACAGGAAACCAGGCATCTGGCAGCAATGATTAATATAAATATATTTCTCTCTTTCTCCAGTGCCATTTGTAGGTTTACCAAAAACTACCACCTCTTGGCACATATTTAGAATCATCTCTTGGCAATTGCTAATGGAGGGGAATAAAGGTGATTCCTTGACAGAGACCTGAAGGCCCACAGACCCAGGCAGGGGCATGTTCTTAAAATGATGCCTAATAGGAACCAGGTCTTGCCAACTTCTTTGGTAGTGAGAGTTCAGTGGTGTGGGGATATTAAATACATACCAGATATTCTCTAACACAACTGCAGGTAGAAGACAAAACAAATAAAACCTAGTTTTTATTGGATCAGAAGCAAATTTTTCTACTTAAACCTCTATTGAATCACAAATATTATTTTCCTTAATTGTATCAACAGGACATAATAAAGTGTAGGTTCCTCTTGACAATCTAGAAATCAATATTGAAGCCAAATGTAAATGTTGGCTTCAAGCCCAATATGACAAAGAGGACCAAAAGAACAGACTAGATCAATTGTGCCTTTAGCTGCAGTCTCCCTTTCATTTTGAGTTGCTTGCTTTTCACCTTTTTTTTTTTGCACCTAATGGAACACCTACCTGACTCACTAAGCCTAACTCAAAACCCATGTCTCAGGAAGACATTTTTTATCCTGTCCACCTGGAAGTCATCACTTATTCCTTTGAACTCCTCTTTCTAGTCATTAGATTTTGCTTTCATGTGACCCTTGTTACCCAAGCCAACTTTTGGCTGCTCTGGGACAAAAACAGTGCCTTATTCATTTGTTTATATGCAGCACAGAACTTTGTAAAGAGTAGATGCTAAATAATTATTTTATTAAATGTCTGATCTGGAAGTGAAAATGTGCTGACATTCTAAACACGTTCCATTTTTAGTCACCCTCTGACATAATAGTTCCACTTCAGTAACCAAGTGTCTTATTTATTTTATGTAAGGAGACATCAAGAATGAAATATCCCTAGGAATATGAAATTTGTGAAAACAATTTGTAAAATGTTTCCAGGAATTTTTTCCTTTTTGTATATGTATTACATACATGTAACAAGGAAATTTTGCTTTTTTTAAAAAAATTCAATTAGGGTGTCAGCAGAAAAATTTATTCAGGTTCTTGCAAGTTCTGTGCTTATAATTTTGGCTTAGGGCATTTGAAAGTTACGAATTTAAAGATCACCACAAAAGCATACAGCACAATCAAAATTTTAATTTCTCTTTCTTTTTTGTTTTGAGACAAAATTTCATTCTGTCTCCTAGGCTGGAGTGCAGTGGCATGATCTCAGCTCACCACAACCTCTGCCTCCCAGGTTCAAGTGATTCTCCTGCCTCAGCCTTCAGAGTAGCTGGGATTACAGGTTTCCACCACCGCACCCGGCTGATTTTTATATTTTAAGTAGAGACGAGGCTTCAGCATGTTGACCAGGTCGGTCTGGAACTCCTGACCTCAAGCGCTCTGCCTGCCACAGCCTCCCAAAGTGCTGGGATTACAGGCCTGAGCCACCGTGTCAGGCCCAATTTCCCTTTCATAGCAATAATATTAATTAACATTCTTAAGCAGGGTGGCCTAATAGTTACAGAGTTCGAGTCCTGTTACCAGACTGTCTGGATTAAAATCCAGCCACTGCCAATGAACAAGTTATTTAACCTGTGCTTCAGTTTCATCATCTCTAAAACAGATATTATTACAATAAATAATATAAACTGTTAGGTATTTTGTAAAGATTAAATGAGCTAATACATGGAAAATATTTAGAAGAGCATCAAGAAACATTATTCCTATTTTCTTCAACAATACCAAGTAGGAAAACTATAGATATGCTTCTAAGTTTGAAAGTCTTGTAGGTCAAAGAATATTTGTAACCTTCCACAATAAATTCACATATTTACTTTTTTATTTTCCATGGTATCAAGTCCTCTCTTTTCAGGCAGTGCAGAATACACCTTTCTTTTCAGATGTAGCAAACATTACTATCTCTTATCCCATAACATTTTATCGTTAACTATATTTGGGGGATATAGTTAATGATAAAATGCTGGGGGAATATAGTTAATGATAAAATTAACTGAAATCCTTAAATATCAAGAATGAAAATCCCTATATATATGAAATAAAATATAGCCTATTAATGAAAATATTCATTATAAATAATTTTAAGTGGTCTCAATTTGTATTCAACTATGCCAAATCAAAAAGTCCTAAGAACTATTAAGAAGTGAGATGAGGAACCCCAAATTGTGTTATACTTAATGTATTCATTCACAAAACAAGAATTTTAAAAATAGGTATTTTATTTTATTTATTCATTTTTTTTGAGACAGAGTTTTGCTGTTGTTACCCAGGCTGGAGTGCAATAGCACGATCTCGGCTCACTGCAACCTCCACCTCCTGGGTTCAAGCAATTCTTCTGCCTCAGCCTCCCGAGTAGCTGGGACTACAGGCACGCACCACCATGCCCAGCTAATTTTTGTATTTTTAGTAGACAGGGTTTCACCTTGTTGACCAGGATGGCCTCGATCTCTTGACCTCGTGATCCACCCGCCTCGACCTCCCAAAGTGCTGGGATTACAGGCGTGAGCCACTGCGCCCAGCCCAAAATAGGTAATTTAGCATATGTTTGTAGTACTGTGTGTGGGGGGGATCTTTGTTCCATTTTGGGTAATTTCCACAGTTATAAGATAAATCAAGCTTAAAGAATGAGGTCAATTTTGAAATAATTAGTTCTGGTACTTTTTAAAAACTTTATGACATATTTTTGTAAGTGCAGAAAATGCCTGAAAAAGTCTTTTAATTTCCTGGTGGGAAAAAATATAATTTCTTCCCAAGCCACTCCACCCTTTTAATGATCAGAGTTTAAGATGTTTATTTGAAACTTCCATTTTTACAGTGGAAAGCACAATTCCTCCACAGGCACACAAGGAAAGCTTTGTTGAAATTTTCCAAGTTGGTTAATGGAGACACATTAAGGCTCTGAAATACCAGTTACTAACTCCTATCACTACTCTTTGCAGGGCGACAGTGGTGGGCCTCTTGTTTGTGAGCACCCTGGAGGACAGTGGACATTATTTGGATTAACTTCATGGGGCTCTGTCTGCTTTTCCAAAGTCCTGGGGCCTGGTGTTTATAGTAACGTATCATATTTCATCGAATGGATCAAAAGACAGATATACATCCAGACCTTTCTCCTAAAGTAATTATAAGGATGATCAGAGACTTCTGCCAGCTACACGAACAGAAAATGGTCTTCTTGACTGTGAAGAGCTTTCTGCAGAGAGCTGTACAGAAGCACTTTTCATGGACAGAATTGCTCAACCATGTACTGCAAATTTGCATGTTTGTTTTGGACTAATTTTCTTCAACTTATTTTTTCACCTTCATTTTTCTCTTATTTCATGTTCAATGAAAGGCTTTACAAAAAATAACGCAAAGCAGACTTTGTTTTTTGTCTGGCCTAACCATGACTGTAGCACAAAATTATCAACTGGAGAGAGATTTAAAATCATGCAGGTGCTACAATAACAGGTTATGGAATGTTCTCTTTTATACTATCACAAAAAAGATATCGAGATTTAGGCTGATTAATTATCTCTGCCGGTTTTTGTTTCTCAAGCTCAGTAGCATAGTGGTAAATTTCACTGTTAACACTGGAGACTTGCTTTTGATTTATTAAAAGCCAAGATAATTTACACGTTTAAAGTATTTACTATTATTCTTCTAACGTTTGCATAATTCTGAGAACTGATAAAAGACAGCAATAAAAGACCAATGTCATCCATATAGGTAGCAAGACATATTGAATGCAAGTTCTTTAGAGATCAGTATTAACACTTGCATTATAGAACCCCCATTCCGGATGTATATCAAGCTTGTAATTTTATAGAAGAGTTTTTATAGAGCATTCCCCATAGCTGGATTTGTTCAGTGTATATCAGTTGGCTGATTGAGACTGCAACAACTAGGTTGATATTTATGGGCAATACTTTGTTTTACTTATGTGGCAAAGAACTGGATAGAGGCTTTGCAAAGGAGAATTTAGATGAGAGATGCAATTTTTTAAAAAGAAAATTAAACTGCATCTCTCACTCAATTAAATATTTTTCAGTTTTCTTGCATTCATCTGTGCCAACAAGGTCATAAAAACTATATTTTAAAGCACCGTAAAACTTTGCGTGGAGTAAAACATTTTGTAACTTTCCTCAAAAGATGTTTAGTATCTGGTTTCTTCTCAATGGTAATTAAAATTATAGAGATGATTTTAAGCACTAGAACACTTTACGCAAATCAATAACTGAAGCAATTAGTGGTTAAAAGTATTTTTTCCCACTAAAAATCTTTAAAACACAAATCTTCACATATACCTGATTTAATTAGTCAGGCATCCATTTTGCCTTTTAAACAACTAGGATTCCCTACTAACCTCCACCAGCAACCTGGACTGCCTCAGCTTTCCAGAGATACTACCAGCAATTTTATACATGTATTTCTTTTTAACTTTTCTATGTGTAAACATATATGAAATTCAAAAAATTGTTTTAATAATTTCCATATTATTCATCTCCTGTCTTTCAGTTTGTATAAACCTAAGGAGAGTGTGAAATCTAGCAACTGAATTGTGGTCACAATTGTATGAAAGTTCGAGAACATATGTCAGTTTTGTTATAGTTGTAGTACATTCTTAAGGTATCAACTTTTAGCCTTGTTCAACTTAGGTTCAGTGAAATATACATATTATACTTATTTGAAATAATTTTTAATACAAATGAAATGGTCTAATCATTTTTTTTTATGGATATGGGTAGCAAGTCCTAGGAAATTTTTTCTGTCTCTACAACAGCGTGCTGGCACCCTGTTTGCCAATCACAATTCACCTCCCTTATATCTCACCCTCACAGGTATGTGCACTTTTGTTTTAGAGGACCAATGGCTCCTTGATTGGTCTGAAATTAGAGGTTGCTAATAGTCTCAAATTGCCCACTGAGTGTTGAGTGAGAACTTCAGTCCTGGTAAGGGCGCAGAGATCTTTAACATCTAGGGTAAATTTCAGGAACCCAACACAATTATTTTATAAATCTTTTGTAATAAGGTTATATCCCAAATACATATACTATTAATCAATTTTCTTTATCTACTGAGAGCAAGTATATAATACTTGGTGAATCTGGTGAAATACACACCAGCTTGGGTAACTTTATATAAGAGTATTGACTTGTAAATGTCACCCTTTATAAGGCTTCATACAGATTCCAACCTCCTTTGCCTAAGGTCCAGATGTGTTTCAGAATTCAAAATTTTTCAATTTTTAAAAAGAAATACAGTTTAGCACTCAGTAATAAAATATATTAATATTTTTGTAGCAAAGTGTGTGACGATTACATTAAGTAAAGTACATAAATAGCCTTACAATTTGTTCAGGACATTGAATTTATGACTAATTTAAGAAAAATATTTCAGTTTTCAGAGGTTTGGAGATTTTGGAATTGTGGATACGTGATTGTGACCCCATAACATGAACACTCAATATTTTCCTCTATTCATATGCACAGATAATTGGCATTCTGAAAATTGGTCTTTTTTCTTAGTGTTTTTAGCTCATTCTTTCTCCTCAGAGTCTAACCTTTTTATTTACAAGTGAACATATCTCTAAATTATTGTTTATCAGAAGATGACAATCTCAGGGAATGAATGGCAGCTGCTATGAGGATAATAAATGATGTGACATCAGTGATTTTCCATATAAGAAAAGGCAAAAGCAATATGCTGGTAAAAGGCATGCTTCGTGACTTTCCTTCTAAGTTCTGGTTCTATTTACAGTTGGATTCGGCAAATGTTTACAAGAGTGATGACAGTTTTTCAGTATACATGATTTATGAAACAGTTTATTTAAAAAAAAGTCATAAGAAAGCAGAAAGTAACTTCCATTAGCTATGTAGATTTTGAAAGTTCTAGAAATCAGCTTATGTAAAAGACTGTTTGCAATAATAATAGAAAGCTACAAAAATGTCAGACCAGAATAGTTGGCAGAAGGTAGAAAACTAAACCCTGAGAATAAGAGTCATTAAGAAGACCTTGATGTAGACATCACATATGAGCATGGAGACTCAGGAAGGAAATTCTAGATGACTGGTGGCTGACAACTTTCAAATACAATAAATAGAGATAGGATTTCAATAGGAATATATGATCTTATAACAGCATGTGTCCTTACTTAGTATAGTTTCTTTCTTACAACTAAAGACAGCATACATGATTTGCAATAGCAGTAAACTTGCTGTAGACATTGCTGTCCTCAAATGTATTTTAAAACCAAATTTTTCTAAGAATCTCATAGAAACCTCCAGAGAACAACCTGTATTATTTTCAGTTTATATCTCTTATTTTAGAGGCTCCGACACCTGAAAAGTCCCATGGTATTGTAAAAAAACTATGAACCTTCAAGAAGTCTCTGGAAGATTGTTTCGCAATTGATTGTATCACTTCAATTAGGCTATTGTGAGTTTTAGAACACAGGAAATTGCCCAATGGGCCACAGGCAGAGCTGATGTCTGCCTGACCTATGGCTTCAGTTTCCTAATTGACAACATCTATACAGAAGCAGATCTCATAAAAGGTCTTCTCCTGACTGGAAGCTGAGAGAGGAATGCATTCCTGATCCCTGATGAAACCCTAGAATCCCTCTTTTCCCTTTCCAGTGAAGGCTCCGCCTCAGGAAAACACTGAAATGAGCAGAGAAGTATGCCTACATCTTCAGTCAGAAGACTAAAATCATCTTCCCATAGGAAATAAAAAGCTATTAATAGTTACTAACTGTATTTTAAGCAGTACAAGTATACCTTATTTTAGGTACCTTGTTGTTTAAAAGGCTCTTGGGACTTTACCTGTAAAAAGCATCTACAACGCTTTTTCCATATTTCCTCTGAGTCCTAACCAATTCATCTAAAAACTACTTTTTCCTTGATGAAAAAATTCAGATTGGAACCTGCCCATATTTTTCTTTTTCTTTTTTTTTTTTGAGATGGAGTCTTACTCTGTAGCCCAGGCTGGAATGCAGTGGCGTGATCTCGGCTCATTGCAACCTCTGCCTCCTGGGTCCTGGTTCAAGAAATTCTCCTGCCTCAGCCTCCCTAGTAGCTGGGATTACAGGTGTGCACCACCATGCCCAGCTAATTTTTGTATTTTTACTAGAGACGGGGTTTCACCAAGTTGGCAAGGCTGGTCTTGAACTCCTGACATTGTGATCCACCTGCCTCAGCCTCCCAAAGTACTGGGATTACAGGCGTGAGCCACTGTGCCTGGCTAGAACCTGCCCATTTAAAGGGTTTCCCTAGAGTATAAGATCTCCAAGTAAAATAAATATATCTCAAATGATTCCCCTTGAAAATATTTGAATTTCTAAAAGAATGAAAATGCTTTTACAAAATCCAAAAAGTTTTATAAAAGCATTTGGTTCTGTTTAATTCTTAAACTCTGTCTAAGTCAAACTCTAGCCCTCTATTACAAATCTATATACAAACATACAATAATGATCATCATCACGTCAGGTTTCCAAGCCTTGTCCCTTATGGAAAATTCTTGCTTGGAGAGATACCTTTTCAAAATCCCTCTTCCAACCTTGAGAGAATACTTGTATTTCCAAGGAAGGTATCTGGCTTTCTTAACCTTTGGAGGGTCCAGCCATCTCAAAGGCCTTAGTTTCAGAGCAGCCTTGATCTAAAGCAGTTTCACACAGAGATAAGTTTCCTTGCTCAAAAGCACACGAAGTTGCTGACTTCATCGCAAATACAGCAGAAGATTCAGGCATGGGTCTTCTTCCTGACTTGCCAGCTGATTGGTTAGCATTCTTTGATGTCACTTGATTCATCTTTCCAGCACCTCTCCACTTCTTGAGAGCTTCAGTCCTCTCCTCTGGAGTTAGTCTGTCAAAGTGCTTAGCTCTCAGAATTGGAGATGGAAACAGGGATCCCTGAAGAACTCTGTATACAAACCTAGGTGACAAGGGACATCACCAAAATTAAATTCACCTCAAATGCATTACGGAAACCCCCCAAATACTAACCAATTAAAAAAATAAAAGGATCTGGTGGCCACTTGGCTCCTGATATAAAGGGGGAGGGTAACTGAACTCTAATATAAAATGGAGATAAAACAATGTTGAATAAATTAACATTTGCAAAGCAATTAGAAAACAGTAATTACCATATAAGCATTTATTAAAAACAAAGATTAGTAAAGTCTATAAAAGTAGAGATATAAATAGTTGCTACATAGGCTTGTTAGGTTAAATGAGACAATACAGGCAGAGTGTTGACACATAGTGTTAAAAATATTATCTATTTGTACTAGTTTCCTATGGCTATTGTATGTAATAAGGTACCACAAACATGTCCCTTCCTAGACTAAGCTGTATTTCTTCTGCTTAACATTCTCAGAAAAATCTTGTGACTCTATTATGTATGTCATTGGGATTCATGCCACTAGATAAGAGAAGCCACCCCAGATCTTTCCTGTATAACCTCATCTCTTTTCCTGGTTATTGCTGCAATGGTTAGGGAGATCCAGGAATCACATACCTAATCTCTTCAGCACTAGCAGAATCCAGCTATGCTCTCATAATTCTCTCCAGAGCATACTTCTAACAGTCAATCTCCTAATTTTAGCAACTTTTACAATCTGGATAGACTGAGAATTTCCTAAACCAAGTTCCTTGTGGCTTAGAAGTTTTCCCTTCAGTCTCTTTCCTTTCACATTTTACTATAAGCAGTAAGAGTAAATCAGGACATACCTTCAACACTTTACTTAGAAACTTCCTCAGCCAAATATCCAAGTTCATTGCTTACAAATTCTGCTTTCCATATTACTGTAGAACACAATTCCGCTAAGTTTTCTGCCAATATTTGAAAGATCTACTTCCCTCAACTTGTCAAAGCATGTTTCTCACTTTCTTCCAAGTCTTCATCAGTGCACTTGAGCATTCATATATCTAGCAACCTTCTGTGTATGATGATATATATATTTTCTATGCCTGATGATACAGGCTTTGTCTGACTTCTTCATTTTTTTCTGAAACTTCACCAGCAGTAACTTAATTTTTCAGTAATGCAAGGTTGTTTTAATATTATAAAAGCAATTAATGTAATTTACTACACTAACGGTATAAAAAAGAAAATCTTATCTCAATGGATACACGAATTTATGTATTTTTTAAATGTGAAACAGGGAATAGAATGGAACTTCTTTAATCCGGTCAATAGTATAGTAATAAAATTCTACATAAAACATCATAACTAATAGGGACATATGGAAACCTTTCCTTCTGGGATCAGAAACAAGACAAGCTTTCCTAGCCAGGTCAATAAGAAAAATCAAGTGCCTAAGTATTGGAAAGAAAGAAATACACTGGTCATTACTTGCTGATGGCATTACTATATATGTAGAAAATGTAAAAAAAAATTGGAACTAATAAGTAAATGTAGCTATCAAGATCACTGGTTACAACTTTAATGTCAATATTTCTACCAAGAATCTGTATACGGAAGTCTAGGAGGATTTTTCTATTATTTGCCTCAAAATTCATCCTGCCTCTGCCCATTATCCAATTTCAAAGCCACTTCCACAGTTTTAGGCATTTGTTATAGCAGAAAACTATTCTGGGTACCAAAATCTGTATTAGTTTCCTATGGTTGCTATAACAAGTTATTATAAATTTGGTAGCTTAGAAGAACAAAAATTATTCTCTAAATATTCTCAAAGCAAAAAATTATAAAATTAGCTTCACTGAGCCAAAATCAAGGTATTGGAAGGGCCATGCTCCCTCTGGAACCTCTAGAAGACAATCTATTCCCTGCCTCTTCCAGCTTCTGGTGGCTTCTGACATTTCTTGGCTTGTGGCTAAGGAATTCCAGACCCCTTAATCAAAATGCCTTCTCCCTTCTGTGTCAAATCTCCCTCTGCTCTTTCTTATAAGGACACTTGTGGTTTCATTTAGGACCCTCGTGGATAATTCAGAATAATCTCTCCTTCTCAAGATACATAATGTAATAACATGCAAAGTACTTTCCTTGCCACATAAGATAACATTTATAGGTTACAGGGATTAGGACATGGAAATCTTTTAGGGAGTCATATTTTAGTTTACCACAATAATATTAGAACAATACTGTTAAGGCCCAGAATTTTTAAAGCTAAAACCTTAAAGTAATTGTTTTTTTCAGAAATTCTGTAAGTTCATCTGGTCAGTTTTTAATCTGGAAGCTGGCAATAGCAGTGAGCATTATAGAAGTATCTTAGTTTCACAGTGATATTGTTATGTAAAGGTACCATTGAATAACTCAGATGGCTTTTCTTAAGCATTTCTAGAAGAGACATTCATCGGCAAAAAAAAAGGGTTGTATCCATTGTGCCGTATGATACAGTTACAGATCAGAGCGGGCAAACTTTTTCTGTAAAGGGCCAGATAGTAATGTTTTAGGCATTGCAAGTCAGACAATCTTTGTTGGAACTATTCAATTCTGCTGTCGTATTGCAAAAGCAGTCATAGATCATATGTAAGTAAGTGACTATGGCTATGTTCTAACAAAGCTTTATTTACAAAACCAGACAGTAGCCAAATTTGGCCTGTTTGCCACAGTTTATTGATGCTATTATAGAATAATGTGGGCTGGGCGCGGTGGCTCAAGCCTGTAATCCCAGCACTTTGGGAGGCCGAGGTGGGTGGATAACGAGGTCAAGAGATCAAGACCATCCTGGTCAACGTGGTGAAACCCCGTCTCTACTAAAATACAAAAAATTAGCTGGGCATGGTGGCGCGTGCCTGTAATCCCAGCTACTCAGGAGGCTGAGGCAGGAGAATTGCCTGAACCCAGGAGGCGGAGGTTGCGGTGAGCCGAGATCGCGCCATTGCATTCCAGCCTGGGTAACAAGAGCGAAACTCCGTCTCAAAAAAAAAAAAAAAAAAGAATAATGTGAACTCACCATTAAAACTCATTTATGTTTAAAAAAAGCAGAACAATTATTTGTTATAATCTTTCCAGCTAAGCAGATTTTGTGAAACTGCAAAGATGATGCATTCTGAGTTCAAAAAATCTATATATTAAAAATCCATGTATTCTTCGGAGTCATTTCCATCCCATACAATACTATAAATCAGATTAAACTAGAATGAGGCGGGGGGATAAATGAACTCAGATAAGACAGGAGAGTTGAAAGTGTTCAGTGTTTACAGATTGTAGCAGAGACTGCTACTTGTCCCTCAATACACATTCTCCCCTTCTTGCCTTTAGAAACCCCGAGATTTTAGCACTCAGTTACAATGTACATTCATAGATAGGTTCATGCTACTACAAGAAAAACAAACAAAAATACAAAAACAAAGCTGCTTTCCCTCTACTTTCCCATTCCTGTATACAGGGACAAGCAGGGTTGGGGATCAGCTGGTGAGTCATCTTCAGTCATGCAGATGAGGACTGCCATGGTTGGAATGTTTACTCCCTCCAAAACTCATGATGAAATTTAGCAGCCATTTTTACAATATTAAGAGATAGGACCTTTAAGAGGTCACGAGGTTGAGCCATCATGAGTGAGATTAATCCCATTATAAAAGGGCAAGTTCTACCGACCCCCTTTTGCCTCTTTGCCCTTCCATAATCTGAAGGTGCAGTGTTCAAGGTGCCATCTTGGAATCAGAATCATCAAATCTTCTGGTGCCTTGACTTTAGACTTTTCAGCCTCCAAAACTGTGAGCCAATTAATTTCTGTTTATAAGTTACCTGTTGTAAATCATTGTAGCAACGCAAAATGGGCCCAAACAAGGGCCTGACCCTTGGGAGACAGCAAAGTGAAAAGATAGAGGGAAGGATTTAGGTCCTTAGAAAACCCTGTGAAGCAAAGCTACCCTATCCCTGTGAACTGTCAACCGGATAAACTTTTTCATGAGAGATACATCAATCTCTTGGTTTGCTTAAGTCAGTTTTGTTCTCTGATAAAACAGTTAAAACCAATATTTTAACAAGGACACAGATTGACTTTCTCACTACTAAACAGAGTGGCCTGCCAACCATTCTTAGTAGTTGCTTGAAGGATTCTTGGCCTATAATTCCATTTATTCCCTCAACGGTAAAATAAACACCATACCTGGGCAGAAGAGCAATGCACGTTGTGAGGATACAAACTAAATAGAATACTGGATCCAGCATGTGCTCCTGCATAATCCAGTAGGGGTTGGATGGTGGGTTGCAAGTTACACACATGGCTCCAAAAATTATGGCAAATAAAAAATAAGACAGGATGCTACCAATGATGACCAGCATGTGAATCCAAGTCTGTAAGACAAGAAGAGCAGAGGAAATGAATGCTCTCTCACTGATATGATATTGCCACCTGGACCAATCTGCTCCATTAAAGCGACAGCACATCTAAGCTTTGGATGAATGGTGTAACAAATCTTAACAAACAAAATATAAGATATCAAGGAGATTGGAGTATTTTTTGTGAATAAGTTACATCACTGTTTGAATTCTGTAAAACCAAATCAAATACCAAAAGGGAATTCTGTTGACTAGTTTATTCTGTACTATCCATGCACCAAGAGGTGCCTGGATTTTCTCCTTAATTTTTTTCATATAGTCAGTTATTGGTCTGTTTCTTCATTAATGTAATACCTTAACCCAGTGAACCTCAAACTTAAGCCATTCAAATAGGTGCTAGACAGTACTGTTGCTCACCGTTATTGTTATTCCCCTCCGAGTAAATGTTCAGGGGGATTGCATTGCCACACTCCTTTGAAATTAGGCACGGCCATATGTCTCACTTTGATCAATAAAATGTGAGTACAGATGGTATGTATAGCTTTCACCTTAGGAGCATGTAAGAGCTGGTTGGTGTGCAATTTTTCATACTGTCTCCTTTCCTTTCATACTGACCAAGAAGTTCTCTCAGAGGACAGTTGCTTCTAGAGCTGTCCAGAATATCAGCCAACTTTATATGAGCAAGAAATAAATGTTTGTGTGTCACACCACAGCCTAACTACTTTCATATTCATATATACCTAGCTCATTTCATATTCATGTATATCTTGCAATACTATTTTTCTTTACATTGGCTCACTATGTAACTTTATCTAGAAAAAAAAAGAAAAGTACAATAAGATATCTTACCCTAGTTAAAATGACTTGTATCCAAAAGACAGGCAATAACAAACACTGGTTAGGGTGTGGAAAAAAGGGAATCCTTGTTCATTGTTGGGGGGAATCTAAATTAGTACAACAACCCTGGAGAACAGTTTGGAGGTTCCTCAGAAAACTAAAAATTGAGCTACCATATGATCCAGCAGTCCCACTGCTGAGTGTACACCCAAAAGAAAGGAAATCAGTAAAATCAGTATATCAAAGAGACACCTGTACTCCTTCCTATGTTTGCTGCACTAAGCAGCACTGTTTACAATGGACAAGATTTGGAAGCAACCTAAGTGTTCATCAACAGATGGATGGATAAAGAAAAGGTGGTACATATACACAATGGAATACTATTCAGCCATAATAAAGAATGAGATCCTATCACTTACAACAACATGGATGGAACTAGAGGTCATTATGTTAAGTGAAATACGGCAGGCACAGAAAGACAAATGCCGCATGTTCTCACTTAGTTGTGGGATCTAAAAGTCAAATCAATTGAACTCGTGGACATGGAGGGTAGAAGGATGGTTATCAGAGGCTGGGAAGGGCAGTGGAGGTATGGGGGAGGTGGGATGGTTAATGGTACAAAAGAAAAATAGAATGACTAAGACCTACTATTTGATAGCACAATGGGTGACTATAGTCAATAATAATTGTATATTTTTAAATAACTTAAAAAATCGATTTGGATTTTCTGTAACTCAAAGGATAAATGCTTGAAGGGAAGGATACCCCATCCTCCATGATGTTCTTATTTCACATTGCATCCCTGCATCAAAACATCTCAAGGACCTCATAAATATACACACCTACTATATACCTGCAAACATTTTTAGAAATAAAAAAAAAGAAATTTAAATTCAAAAAAGAAAAGTATATCCCTACTTTAAATGTATGAGGCTGGTGCAAAAACAATTGCAGTGTTGTTCTACCAATCCCATAATACTAACATTCTCCATTATCAAAGTCCTGGGTCTGGGATTTGATTAATCTCTGTTATAAAGAGAAATGATCAAGAATTACTATGATAAAACATAATAGCATCAAACGAGATACCTCTCTGATATAATCAGAAGTATGAAAAGAGAATTCCCTTCGCATTATGTAGTATTTAGTGTTATTTAGTGCAGTATGCAGTACTACCTAAAATCATGGTGTGTACTAGTGGTGGCACATATCATGCTTTTTAGGGAAACGCTGCCTTTATTAATCTATTTTATTTTCTAAGGCTATAATTTTCAAATAAAATCAGATTTTCTCCTTTTCTCTCCTAATCTTGCAAGGTATTTCCCCATGGCAGATGTCTTCATAAGAGTCACAAAGTCTGCTTCTTTTTAAATAAAACGTGCAAACAACTAGGAAAACGTTAGCTAACTCCTGGATTAAGATATTTGTGCCCTTAAAACAATAATTCCTTTTTTTTCTTTCTCAAATGCCTTTCCTTCTATTTGAGCCATATTGCTCCAATTTTTTTTTTCTCTTAAAATATGCTTTTGGCAAGTGAGACAGTGACTTCATAGAGTTTATATATTTAAGTGAATTGATACAAAGGAGTGAAAGTCAAGGAATACTGGATAAAAACCAACAGGGAAGTGGGAGGTGGCAATGAGATGGTGAATAAGAGTATGAAGGGAAAGAGTTTTATACTTTCAGGATGGCTGACTCTTTATTGACAAGAGACCTGCAGGGCCAGGATCTCTAGCCATGCCTGCTCCAGCATAAGAAACAATTATCTAACAATGCATCCTTTAAACAGTAGTCACTGTTTATCTTTTTTTTTTTTTTTTGAGACCGAGTTTCGCTGTTGTTACCAGACTGGAGTGCAATGGCACAATTTCGGCTCACCGCAACCTCAGCCTCCTGGGTTCAAGCAATTCTCCTGCCTCAGCCTCCCGAGTAGCTGGGACTAGAGGCATGCACCACCATGCCCAGCTAATTTTTGTATTTTTAGTAGTGACAGGGTTTCACCTTGTTGACCAGGATGGTCTCGATCTCTTGACCTCATGATCCACCCGCCTCGGCCTCCCAAAGTGCTGGGATTATAGGTGTGAGCCACTGTGCCCAGCCTGTTTATCTTTGACTCTAGCTTTCACTCCCCTTCTTGGTGAGGATGGCCAGCATTGCCATCCTAATTTCCCAAGCTGGAGTACAGTGGCATGATCATACACTGCAGCCTCCAACTGTTGGACTCAAGTGATCCTCCTGCCTCAGTCTCTCAAGTAGCTGAGACTGCTGTCATGTGCCACCACAGTTGGTTTTGTTAATTTTTGTAGAGACAGGGTCTCACTATATTGCCCAGGCTGGTCTTGATCAGCTGTGTTCTTGGCTTCATGTGATCCTCCCACCTCAGCCTCCCAAAGCTCTGGAATTGCAGGTGTGAGTCACTGCACCTGGCCTCAGATAATCGCATAACTAAATAAATAATTATAAATTATGATTAGAGTTATGAGCAAAGGCAAGAGAATGGTATCAAAGACAGGGTGGTTAGGGAAGGGCTGTTGTGGGAAATTATATTTTTGATGAAATCTAAAATAACATTTGAGCTGGATGACATGCAGGGATACAAAAGGGAATGAAAAATACCTCCATCAAAAGATATGTTAAGTGCCAATGTCCTGATGTTGTAGTGATAATGAGCTCAATTTATTAAAGAAACTGAAAGAGGGATAAGATAGTTCCAGCCCATGAATATGTGGAAATGAGACTGGAGAAATACGGCATCATTGCATCATCTTAGGGCTTTCAAATTTTATTCCAAGTACAATGGGAAACTACTGAAGGGTTTTACCCAAAGGAGAGCCAAAAAGGATTTTTTTTTTAAATTATGAGGAAGAAATAAAATCATCCCTAAAATCACCTTACCAAGATTATGATACAGCTTTTTCATTTTCATTGAAAGCCATCAACTTGGTCTTGAAGAATGAAGGGTAAGTATCCCTCTAGTCTGTCTCACGTCTCCATGAACCATACACCACCAATACTACCAAAGGGAGCAGGCAGGTGTTTTCCAATTTCCCCAGCTACACATCAACTTCAGCATAACGGCATTCAGTGATCACCCAGAGTAGCTATGATCACCCTTCTCCCATAGATTCATTACTCTTCTCATTACCATTTATCTTTAGGGTCACTGCTAATAGAAGTCATATCCCCAAGCATAAAATACTTTGTTACTTCAGAACCAAGAAGACCACTCACCAAACTCTTGCTTTCAATGACCAGATGGAGGAGAATGATGAACAGAGCAGCTGTGTTCAGGGGGTTTCCAAATGCGAAGATGTCAATATCTGAGTCCTGGTAGATCTACAAAGAGAGGATATTAGATGATCCTGGAGAGTTATGCACACTTGGCATCGGTAACATCACTTTATCTACAGCTCAACCAAGGCTTGAGTCCCTTCTACAATGTCCCTGTGATCTGGCCATTTGAAATAACCTTGAACATTTTCACAAGTAAGAGACTGACTCTCTTCCAGAGAGGGCAACTAATCTTCAATTTTTTTCAACTGGAATTCCTCTTTATTCTGATTCATAATTGATTCTCCTGGAACCTTTTACTCACACTTGTACCTTTTTAAGGTATAGATAAATTTGTTCTACTTAACAGAGCTACAAATCTTTGAGACAGTTATTATGACTACCTTTCCTAGGTAAATATACCCTCCTTTCCTATATGTCTTCAAGTCCTTAAACTATCCCTCTAATGACACAACTTCCTCATGTTTCACCATCATCTTCGCTCTCTTCTGAATACACTTCAGATTGCCTTGTTTATATTTCTCCTGAAGTACAGTGTAGCAAGAAAACTCTAGCAAGTCTAATTCAAATGATTTTATTTCAATAAAGAATAAAAATTGTTAACATAAAAATGATCATTTTTCATTCTTAATACTGTACTTCTATTAACATCATCCATAATCAAACAGGTTTCTTGAGGAGAGGGTATATGTGGGTGAGCAGCTATGCAATGCTGCTTTGTGCTTGGTGTTAGCCTAAAGGTTTTAAAATTAAATTTTATACATTATTTGCTTTGTTACATTTCTTCCATTCTTTACCTGTAAAATAGGTTTCAGAGTTTTAGAGACACTACTTATGTAATCTTAAATTTAATACTCTGAATATCATTCGAGTAGAATTAGCCCAGCACTCACTAATAAAAGCTTTCATATTCTGGCATTTCCTCTCTGATTATTTTTTAGACAAGGTCTCATTCTGCTGTCTATGCTGGGGTGCAGGGGCACAATCACAGTTTACCGCAGCCTAGAACTCCTGGGCTCAAGTGATCCTCCTGCCTCAGCCTCCAAAATAGCAGGGGCCACAGGTCCACACCACCATGCTTAGCTAATTTTTAAATATTTTGTAGAGGTAGGGGTCTCATTGTGTTGCCCAGGCTGGTTTCAAACTCCTCAGCTCAAGCAATTCACCTGCTTTGGCCTCCCAAAGTGCTGAGATTACAGGTGTGAGCCACTGTACCCAGCTTGTCTAATTTTTGACTAATCTAATTATACAGCCATACATCCAATTTTTTTCAAGTCACTAACAAAATTTTTTAAGCAGTACAGGCTTAATAAGAGACCTAAGAGGACTCAAACTAGGTATTTCTATCTAAATTTAATCTATTACCTAACATAGTTTTTGGGGGTGATTATAATTTAGTCAGTTAATAATCGACCTGATTATATGAGCAATCTGCCCTCCTTTATTCTGATACTGGTGGCAAAATACAAAGAAGCATCACTGATTCATTAATAACAAATATACTGAATGAACAAAGACTCACAAAATAAGGCACGAAGAAGCAGACTAGGCTTTGATAAAAGGCATCCAATAAGGTGATCCAGAAGGTGTGGGCTAAGTATGCCTAGAAATGAAGCAGATAATAGGGAGAGAGTAAGATTAACAAGGATCCAAGAAAAGAAACAACACAAGCCAGTACTTACAGTTCAGTTGCTTCTCTGAGAGAAAACTCCATTTCTTCATTCTTTCACTCATGAAACAAGTGGTATTTGCCAACACAGGTAAAGACTGAGGGCAACTGAATGTGACGGGTTCACAAGTAAATATGACAAAAAAAATCCTTGAAGGAACATTTATTCAACTCAGGTTGCCTTTATTACTGGACACATTTTAAATCTAGCTGAAATACACGAGTAGTCCTAACTTCTCCTTTCCTACTGATCCGAAAGTACTGTTCCAAAACTTCTCCAACTATATCCATTCCTCTTTCTCTAAATTACTCCCTTCATTTCAATTCACTGTCAACTGTCTCTGAAGGGCTGCATAGCCATCTAACTGCCCTCTTTGTTTCTCCTCTATTCTCAATCTAACCTTCCCAAATCAGCCAGATGGTCTTTAATCCATTTCCCATTTAGAAAAAAAGGGGCAGCTTGCTGCCAGTGCAGTATTCTTGGGGCAAATGGAAAATGGACTAAAAAAAATGTAAACCAGTTCATGCTATCTCTTTAATCAATCAAATTGACTTCTTTCACTCCCTCCAATGACTTTCCACTGCATTTACAACACCATCTAAGTTTCTTCTAATGACCTATAAGGTCCTACATGGTTTGCCCACTAAATAATTCTCCACAATTACTTCTTGCCATTTTGATTCGGCAAAGTGACCTTCATTCTTTTCCTCAAATGTGTCAAATCCATTCTTTCCTCAGGGATTTACCTATGCTATTCTCTCTGCCAGGAATTCTTTTCCTGGATCTCCTACATAAGCACTTTCTCATTACTTGTATCCTAGCTCAAATATTACTTCGTCATACAGGCACACCAAACCAGTTTACAAGTTGTGCCCGCTTAGGCGCTTACTACTGTGGAAACCTGAGAAGTATCTCATCACTGTCAGGAATAATTCTCTCTGTTTAATAAATTTTCTAGTTCTCTCAATGGAACGCAAGCATCATAGAGCAGAATGTTGACTCTTTTATTCATGTGACTAAAACAGTGCCTTGGATGTAGCAGGTGCCCAACAAATTCGTATCGAGTTAATAAAGTATTCGTATACAAGTTTTCATGCACTAAACTGCTTCCTACACAACTCTTAGAGAAAAAAAGAAAAAGAGTAAGTAGAGACAATAGTAAAATTACTGAAAATTATTTTTCAAACAAGAGTCAACTTTGATCGAAGTTGGATTCTGAGGTTGTGTGAAGGATTCTGAGGCTGCATTCAGATCCAGCAGGAAAGAGTGCTATCATTTATTAGTAATATCTCCCATGAACAGAAATGGAAAAACGTGTCACATCCATGAGCTAGTCTTTTCTTAACATGCTCTCAGTCTTGTTTGCTTCCAAATGCAGAGACTGAAACTTCTTTGAAAATGTTTCACTGTCTCTTAAAGAACAAAGCTTTATAAATATACAAATTCTCCACATATATTCTTCTATTCTTTAAAACAATACACTCGGAATTTTTACATCTCTCCTTTTTTATCCCTTTGTCCTCTGGAAAAATCAAATCATTGAAGATTCATTGTTTCCAGCCCACTTTTCTCTTCTATTATTTCCTCACTGGGGATGATGGGATATTCTACCTGCCTTTCTTTATCCAAGTGTCCATAATATCTCAGCAGAAGCTTAATCCAATGGTGGAAGAGAATGTGCCAGAGACAAAGGGGCAAGCAAAATGCCACTGGACAACGGAGAACCACTTAGGGAGAAGTTAAAGTGTAACTTCATGCATCTGGGGAAGTAGAGGTTGCTCAAAGAACCTAGAGTAAAAGAAAAGAAATACAATTTCCCCCAGTCACATGAGGAATAGGACTGACAAAAGTAAAGAGGGAAGGACCATGATTAAGATAAACGAGAGGCTGCAGGGATTAACTCATGGGGTCTACCAGAAACTGAAAGGGGAAAATCTGGACATGAAGCCAAAGACAGAAAAAAAGACTGTGTGGGTGATGAGAGATGGGGGAGAGGCTTCGTGGAAGGGAAGCGTCTGACTGCAGACCCCCACACTCATCTTTAAAGGAGAGAGATTCTGTAGCCCTGGAGAGTATATTTCACTACACCGAACACAGGAAAATGGCCCAAGCATGAATCCATTTGTTTGGAGACCAATTTCAAAGAAAGGACACATTTTTGAGGATAAAGTCAATGAAATCAGTTACCTTTTATCAATAGCTACATGCTGGGAAAACCTGCCTGCTATGATCATGTTGTATAAAATTGGCCATTTCACTAGAACAATGAGTACAAAGGATTGGTGAGAGGATTCAACAACAGTAAACAATGATTTCACTTCTCCCAGGGATAAGGACCAATACCAATACCAATCTTTAGTCCATACAAATAGGGTTTTAAAATGCTGGCTATAAAAACTTTAATTGAAAATCTCCCTCAACCCTCCTTCCCTCAATAGACTTGGAATTTCAATTATGCCTGGGGTGTGGAACAAGCTTCACTGACAACCACATGTTCTTGCATCCTGGCTTGAACGTTAAGTCAGACTGGACTCCTTTAGGAAAACCCATGCAGTTCCTTGATTTGAAAGGATTGGATGATGTTAAAGGATTATGAGGCTCTCTTCTTCCCTGAAAGCCGAATCTGTGATTTCTCTGTCAGTTGTCCTAGGTAGTGTAAGGACGCTAAATGACTCTCCATTCCATTTCAAGTCAGGAGAGTTAGACTCATGGAAAATAAATGCATTATTTTAAATTTGGGATTTCCTCAAATTTCTGGTTAATTCTGGAGGGTAAAAATGACAATACTGAGAACTTACTATGGCTGGAAATCGTACCTGTATTATCTTCCTTAACCCTTACATCATTTCCATAAAGTAAAGACATCTGCAGCATAGGCCAGTTAAAAAATGTACCAAGGTCAGATACCGCAGAACCCGAATTGAAACTCAGGCTAAACAGAACCTATTATTTCTAACATAGGCCAAACCACTTTTTAGTGGTGGAATTTCTTGAAAAATTACTTAACCCCTTCAAGATTGAGATGCTTTATCTTAGAATGGGACCAATACTAGGTTCCGTCTCAACTTGTTTTCATGAGGATCAGTGAGACAGGGAATGTTAAGTAGTTAGCACAACAGATGGCAATGAGGTTTAGTGAACGTTAGATATTACTGGTTATAAGGTTCAAACTTTAGATTTCTTCTTATAAGTACCTAAAGCCCTTCATAGATTAATCTGTATTTATCTCAAAGGCAAGGAAGTTAATATCTGCTACATGAGTAGAGATCTTTTCAAACAATCATATATTTCAAACAGTTCTGAGTGGACTGCAATATTTGGCCTGGTTAATGAAGAAAACACACTGGCTTTGACAATGGATATGTATCCATCCAAGCACTTTGTTTTAACACCTACCTCTGATTTCTGACCACTTTTGTAAAGTTCAGGCAGTTCCATGAGGATCTCTGCAGACACATCTTTCTCCAAAACACCATAAATGACAGGAGGGGCAGATGTGAAGAGGAGGTTGAAGAAGATCAAAACCCAATAATCAGTCATGGACGTTCCTGAAAATCCACAAAAGAACTGGTACCAGAAAAGGAGGTTCACATAGGCCTGGAGACACAAAGAAGGACATTCAGATCTTAGAATCAGTAATGTGTGCTATGATCACACATTCCAAATGCTGGTGTTTTAAGCTGGGTGACCTCATCCTCTCTGCAGTTTTCTTACATAAGATAGGACCACAATTTCCCTTGCAGCTCTTTTGGGTAAGTATTTTATTAAATTAAAGTGTGCACATATATATACACCCAGACAGACACGTAAGCACACACATGCACACACACACACCCCGCATTTACTATGTGGTACTAGCACTGTTCTAAGTGCTTTACGAATAATTCATTTAATCATCACAACAACTTGGGAATTACATTGTTGTCATTTTACAAATCAGGAAACTGAGTGTGATGAACTGAATGTCTGTGTCCTCCCAAAATTCATATGAAATCCTCCTGAAATAAAACTTCCCTGCTTGAGAGCACAGAGCACTATCCCCACTGTGACAGTGTGAGGAGGTGGTACCTCTGGGAGGTGATTAGGCTATGACTTTGGAGGCTTCATGAATGGAATCAGTTTCTTTATAAAAGAGACCCCAGTGAGCTCTCATCATCTCATCTCTTTTTATGTAAGGATAGAATGAGAAATCTGAAACCTGGAAGAAAACCCGCACCAGAACCTGACTATTCTGGCACCCTCATCTGGATATCCAGCTCCAGAATAGTGGGGAAGAAATGTTGTTTACAAGCCCTGTACCACCTGTCTGTGGTACTTTGTTATGGCAGCCTGATTGGATTAAGATATTGAGGCACAGAGAAACTAAGAAACTTGCCCACAGCCATGTGGTTCTAATAAGTAGCAGAACAAGTATTCGAATTGAAGGATTTAACACTGGATGAAGAGAATCTAGCCCAATCCCTGGCACAGACACAGATCAGGCACAGCACAAATGTCCATTCTCTTGCCTTCTGGGTTCATAAATACATAGTGATAAAGTGGAATGGTGCCAGCAGAGTGGTCAACCATCCCAGTTTGCTTGGGACTGAGGGGTTTCCCAGGAATAGGGACTTCCACTGCTAAAATGGGGACATTCTTGGGGAAACCAGGACAGTTGGTCACCCTAGAGGCCAGTCATGGGCATCCTACATGGTTTCCTGCAGTATTTTGCCTCAGAAAAACTAAGTTCAGTGTAAAAAGCTCTATGCTCTCAAGCAGGGCAGGCCACAGGAAAGGACACTGGACTTAGATAGAGAGGGAGTTTTGTTTCAAGGCTGGGGGATACCTCCCATTGATTCTTTGCCTTTAGGCCATTTTCCTAACCTCCCTGAATTATTTCCTCCTCTTAAAATGAGAATTATACTACCTTAGGGATTAGTATCAAAGTCAAGTTAGAAAATGGTCATGATCAGCTGGATGCAGTAGCTTATGCCTGTATCCCAGCACTTGGGGAGGATAAAGCAGGCATGAGGTCAGGAGTTCGAGACCAGCCTGTCCAACATGGTAAAATCCTATTTCTACCAAAATATGCAAAAATTAGCTGAGTATGGTGGTGCACACCTTTAGTCTCAGCTTCTTGGGAGGCTGAGGTAGGAGGATTGCTTGAACTCAGGAGGCAGAGGTTGCAGTGAGCCGAGATCACACCACTGCACTCCAGCCTGGGGGCCAGAGTGAGATCCTGTCTCAATAAACAAAAAAACAAGAAAGTTGTCATGATCTGGTAAGTGTCTTATAGTCTTATAAAAAATATTGTCATCATAGATACACTAGGACCTCAGGACAAGAGCCACAATCCTTAGAAAAGATTTTCTTAGTCTAGCATCTATAGACATGCACGGTGCCCAGTTTCTGAAAATGTATGAATCTTGCTTGGGTACAGGTGGTATGGAACACTCTTCTGGAGGAATGAATTCATAGTCTTCATTGGCACCTCAAAGGTAGTCCAATATCCAAGAACAATGGTCTCAGAAAGACAAGCTACTCTAATGGCTTCTGGTCCAAGTCCTGTGCACAGCATTTAAAATATGCATTGTTTAGTTAGGTAAATAAGAGATATAAATTAAATCTGGAGATTATCAGTATGAATGGCCATTCAAGGATTATAGAGCAGGAAGACCACTGAGGTCCTGATTCTCTCTACTAGCGAGAGAGTATATAGCATCTCTTCCTAATACTAGTATTTCTTAACTGTTCAATTCAATCTGGAGTTAAAAGGAGGTGGGGAGGTGAATGGATATTGCCACAATACGGGAGAAGGTGAGCAAATGGAAAGGTTTAAAATAAAAACTTGGGGGGGCGCTCCTCTTTAAAAGCTATTGACCACTAAGTCCTGGAACTGTAAATTGCAAGCCCCAGTTTTCCCCAGAAGTGCATACTTAGGCAGAGATTTTATACATTTCAAATATTTTCCTAAAGTATCTGAGTTTTACTAAACTTTGACTAACTGCATTAGTTCTAATTATTAGAGTCTTGAGAGATTCCTGGAAAGCGTATTGTGCTGCAGGAAAAAAAATGTTCTCACTGACGGACATAGGCACACACGCACACACAGTTCAGATTACACATTTGGGATCTCCTAAAAACAACTTTTTTCCCTCAAAATAGTATTTTAATAGAGTGACATCAGCCCCTGTCTACTACTAACATACTACACATGAACTTTAATGACTAAGAGTGAATTTGACCTAAAATTCATGATATATTTACATTAAGTACCCCCACTTAGAGGATACTTAGATGCATATGATTTTATTTTAAAAAAAAAGGAAACTAAAATTTCAATAGCATGTTCAAGATTAGAGGCCTGGATTTCTAATCAAAGTCTGCCCTTTTAGGAATTACATAATCAAAATACAGTTCCTTTATCATCAAATAACTGTACAAATACATTTGATAGGTTGGCCGATAATTCTTGCATCTGTGAGCACCAGCCAGCTACATACTAAGACATTATACTAGGTTTTCATCTGTATCTGCATCTTTATTATAACACAAGGGGCATTAATTTGGAAGAGCTGATATTTTTTGGTATTTCCAGCAAATCAGAAGCAAACCTTTTTATTCTCTACTGACAGAGAGCATTAAACATTTCATAAGTCTGCTTGTCACAGTCTTTTTTATGGAAGGTCAAAAATTAGATTTTAAATGAAACAGACAGGATTGAATTTAAATGCACAGGGAGTACAAAATGTTAGCAGATGGACAAGCCTGGCAATTTGCTGTCAGCAGCTGAAACATATCACATTTGCAGCTTAGTTCTGGTAAAACAGCAAGACCGTCCCTGGCTGCTCCCAATAAATACATCAATAAGGGTTGGGAGGCCGAGGTGGGTGGATCACGAGGTTAAGTGATTGAGACCATCCTGGTCAACATGGTGAAACCCCGTCTTTACTAAAAATACAAAAATTAGCTGGGCATGGTGGCTCACGCCTGTAGTCCTAGCTACTCAGGAGGCTGAGGCAGGAGAATTGCTTGAACCCGGGAGGCAGAGGTTGCAGTGAGCCGAGATCGTGCCATTGCACTCCAGCCTGGGTAACAAGAGCGAAACTCAGTCTCAAAAAAAAAAGGAAAGTGAGCTTAGCATAGGACACTTCCTTCTCATCCCTAATGCAACAGGCTTGGAAGGTACAAACTGACAAGGGACAAATTATCTGGGGTTACATACCACATTCTTATAGAAAAAATAGAGAATCATGTTGGAAAGCCTTGTATAACACCAGTGTCCATGGACAAGAAGAAGCTTGCTGAGATGTTTGAACTGAGAAATGGCAAAGTCACTGGCCATCACAGCCTGCAGACGCAATGGAGAGAGAATGTCATTCTGAGCCATCAAACATGTTAGAACAGACACAGCCCTGTCAGCCTCACTGTCACTACAGTTCAATCAGTTGCATCTGTTATTTAAACCTTACATGCAGATAAAAAGGCAAAACATACACATACAAAACAGCAGCAACCACAACGACAAAACCCATGCATATAGAACCTTTGTGGACTGCCTAGATTTACCACTCAGCTTTCCAATACCGTCACATGAGACAGGATTTCTCTTTGGTTACCACTTGCGGTGCACTTTCAACCAATGAACTTTTGCTAGAAAGCAGCTTCCTTAGCAAGAACTCTGTCTTCTGCATCACAAGATGCATTTGCTTCTCCTCAGGGAGAATATTAAGAAGCATTGAAGTTCTGACTTCATATGACTTTGTATAATGTGTAAGGCAAAAGGTATGTGAATCCCTCATCTTTCATAAAGATGTTGTAATTTACAATTCTTGGGAAACCCTGGGCCTCATATTCAACCTTCCTCTGACAGCACTTGTTCCATACATGAATGAAAATCGGTTTTCTGGGTTATGAGCTTTTATCTGAATTCTGTGCCCAAAATACTATCCAACACACACACACACACAAACACACACACACACGTGCAGACACTCCCACCTCCTTCCTTCCTCTCTCATATCCTCTTCTTTCCCTTTTTTTTTTCATCCTCCCTCTCCTGCCTCAAGATCTTTAGGTCCTTTATTCAAATAGTAGCTTCTTCAGAGTCAGAATTTACACAGCTATTGCAGGACTAAAATATATATTCCTGTGATTTAGATAAGCTCCATATTTAACAAGTGAACAATACAGTTTAAATTACCCAGGAAAATGCCATAATACTCACCTACGAAATAATCAATGAATGGATGAGTAAAATTCCTGCCTCCCACTCCTCAGCTAGCCACACACAGACTCACTTGGCCAGAGAATTTACCATGGAGAATGTTGCCTTTGGATGGGCAGGTCAAGGCCACAGAACTTGGGTGCACAATATCCACTCACCTGCATGCCTTCTTGACCTGAGACCCCGATCCCAATGTCTGCCACTTGTATCATGCTGACATCATTGGCACCATCACCTTCATGAAGCAGAAAAAGGAGAGAAATATATGAGGAGTAAAGAAAGGGTATAAATGTTGCAAATCAGTAAGGGCAGCTCAAGTAAACAGAATAATCCTTCAAAGTTCATCCCTTTCTCCAAGTTTCCTGGAAGAAAACTGAAGCAGAAATAAAGCAGCATCCCACTACCATCAGGAAGAATTCTACACTCAACACTGCTTTAAATTCCTTCCTGCTATGGCACTTACCCAGACTGATCTTGTTTTCCATGCCACTCATGCTACTTCCAACTCTCCAGATATACCCTTCTCCCTGTAGCCATGCACATAACACTGTCCTTATCACCCCCAGCCCATTTTGCTGGATTTCATTTGTTTCTGCTCTCAGCTTAGATGTCATTTCCTCTGGGAAATCCTGCTCATACTTTTTCAAGATCAGACGTCCTTTCATTAGGCTTCAGCACCACCCTATGTATCTCTAGCAAACCTAACACACATACCATGGTTTCATGCAGACTTACTGGTCTCCCCCAGCACAGAGAGCTTCTTAGGAGGAGGTACCACGTTTCTGCTGGTAATGAGCATACATTGTTCTCAATTGCTCACCAACAATTCACCTGTTTTTCAGTAAAAGTATACTGATTTTCCTTGGAAATTCTTAGTTTGTGAGGTTTGTTACGGTGAACTCAAACCTCCATATTTACAGGTAGGCAAGTGACCCAGATCTGCACAATCAGCATATTCTATTCCCTGGCCTCAGTATTGGTTCCGAGATGAATATATGACTTCAGTTAATATTATTATAAGTTATAAGATAATCACAATATATAATGTATGAGATAAATTATAATTATTATATATATAATTTATCTAACAAATATAATCATAACTGTTATAATATGTAAGTATAATATAATATATAATTATATAACTATGTTATAAGTCTAGGATTTTTCACTTCAGAAACATCTGGATCCATAAGCTTGATTAATTCATTTATCTGTTTATTCAACAAGATAATTGAACAAAATTCCACCCTAATCCTGATACTTTACTGCAGCCATCTGAAAAGTGATGCTATCTTTTCACCCAAGTTGTTAATGGGATAGAATGGAAACCCAGGAGTTTCAGTGGCTATATCACCACCCTGAGGGGAAAAGTTACCTGAGACTGGAAGCAGTCTAGAGGGAAAACAGACATAGAAAGAGACAGCTGATATGCCAAGTCCTCAGCTTAACACTGGAGTCTCTGAGATCTTAGTCTCATTCTACAGTTCTCTTCAGTTATACTCATTCTTTGGTGTCAAGGCTTTGATATCCACTTGACTCTTTTTTGTTTGTTTGTTTTTTTTGAGACAGAATCTTGCTCTGTGGCCCAGGCTGGAAAGCAGTGGCACAATCTCAGCTCAGTGCAACCTCTGCTTCCCAGGTTCATGTGATTCTCGTACCTCAGCCTCCCTAGAGATGGGATTACAGGCTCCCACCATCACGCCTAGATAATTTGTCTATTTTTAGTAGAGATGAGGTTTCACCATGTTGGCCAGTCTGGTCCTGAACTCCTGACCTCAAGTGACCCACCTACGTTGGCCTCCTAAAGTGCTGGGATTATAGGTGTGAGCCAGTGTATCTGGCCTGATATCCACTAGACTTCTGATTCTCAAATTTGTATCTCTAGCCAAATCCTTATTTCTAAATCCCAGAATTTTATTCTCACTTCTCACCTGACATCACTGCTTAGACATTTAATAGCCTTTTCTTTCCTTTTTGAGACAGAGTCTCAATCGGTCGCTTGGGCTGGAGTGCAGTGGTGTGATCTCAGCTCATTGCAACCTCCACCTCCTGGGTTCAAGCCTCCTGAGTAGCTGGGATTATAGGTGACTGCCACTATGACCAGTTAATTTTTTGTATTTTTAGTAGAGACTAAAAATTTCACCATGTTGGCCAGGCTGGTCTTGAATACCTGACCTGGTAATTCACCAGACTAGGCCTCTTGAAGTGCTGGGATTACGGGCGTGAGCCACCACGCCCAGCCTAGCCTTTTCAAACTTCACATGTGTAAGACCCAACTCCCAATTTCCCCACCACTATTTCAGTAAACGGCAGTTCCGTTCTTTTAGTTCTTAGAAGTAACTTTGGCATTCCCTTTGACAACTCTTTCTCTCATATAACATATCCAATCTGTCAGTAAATGTCACTGATTATTTCTTCAGACCATGCCCATTATCTGACCACGTCCCACCCCTTTGTTTGCTCCCAAATGTGCCCAAGCTGCCATCATCTCTTGCTGAATTATTTTATAGAGTTCAGCCTGGGTGTGGTCCAACAATCACTCTGGCAGAGCAGCCAACATGATCATTTTAAATTTAAGGCAAATCATGCCCCACTTCTGCTCCAAATCCTTCAATGGCTCCCTAATCTCTTCAGAAAAAAGCTAACATTTTATTATGTCCTCTAAGACCCTATGTGATATGGCCCCCTTCTGCTTCTCTGACCTTTAATAACCTGCAGAAAAGTCCTCTGACACACCAAACATGGTTCCCCTCATGGCCTTCACTTTTGCTGTCTTCTCTTCCAGGAATGTTCTTCCCCATGTCTCCCATGGCCCTTTACGATTTCCTTCAAGTCTTTGCTCACAGTTAACCTTAGCAGTGAGACCTTTGAAAACCGTATTTAAAGGAGTAGCCCCACCCCATCTCCAGTGCTCTACATCTTCTCATTCCACTTTATTTTCTCAATAGTACTTATCACTCTCTGATACCTTACAGATTTATGCTTTGTTTTCCTGTATGCCTTCCTACTAGATGTAAGTTCCTTGTAAAAAGGTACTTTGTCAATTTTATGTACTCTTTTATCTCCATTCCTTAGAAAAATGCCTAGTACAAAGAAGGTACTTGATAAATATTTGTTGAATGGATAAATAAATGAATTGTCATGTCCCTAGCTTTCCTGAAGGCAGAACACATGGATTTTTTGGTTCTGTCATTCAGTTTATTACCCGGCTTAAGCTCCTTGATTTGGGGGCCTAACACTAAACTAAGAAGTCCCGACTATTATATCGTTTACCATGTCAAATCCTACTACCTGGTTCACAGAGGTGCTCATGTAATTCATGGAGAAGTGGGATAGAGTGAATGTGGTATAGAGAGAGGGAGGAGGAAAATGGGAGGAACAGTGGGAGAGGAAAAAGAGAGGGATCGGCTTCTGATGTGGTGTAAAAGCGGGAGGTGCAGGACCCAGATTTATCCTCACTCACCAATGGCCAGGGTCATCACCTGGAGATGGCTGCGGACCAATTTCACCACTTCACTTTTCTGCAGCGGCGTGGCTCGGCAGCAGACCACAGCTCGACACCAAGATGTCAGTTCCAGGAACTGCTTTTGTAGACTTTCTTGCAGGGCAAACTCCAGGGTCTTCCCAGTGATAACGAGTCCAGCTCGTAACCCTGAGTCCTGGGGGACAGGAGGCTGAGGTAAATCTACATTTAATGACACTTGCTCTGGCAAGGCTTGAGTTTTCTTCTGAAGTTCTTTCAAAATTGTGCTCATCAGCATCCCACAGGCATCCTTAAAACAAGAGGCAGAGGTAGTTAGTCTTTAGGCTCCCTTGGTGCCAGAACCAGTTACCTCTTTTTATTGTCTTTCTTTAGCAATTGCTGAATCAAGAAAAACCCAAATAATGAATAACTAATTATTTTCGAAGACTTTACAAGTCTTCCACAGAGCCTTCTGTGTATATGTGGGGATGGGTTAAAAGGACAGGGAAACATCTCAGCCCCAACTGTGTTTCTTATAAAGAGATAGCTGTGAAATGTCTTTATGTATGCAATTTGCCTTCTCAAACAGTGAATCCCAAGAGTCCTCTGGTCTCATTCTGCCAGTTATTAGCTGCTTGACCTGAGGCAAACTGTGTAACATCTCTAAGCCTTAACTTTTTCATTAAAAATGCAAATATTATGTCCATCATAATGTTGTTGTGAGGATTGAGTGAAATAATACATGCAAAACTCCTAGTGTAAGGCATGACCCATGGCAGACAGCTGAAACAGGAATTATTTTTATTGTATTTTTGATTCCACATATTCATTCACTCACTAAGTATTTAATGAGAAACTACATATTAGAAAACATTTTATGAGCTGAAGCTGCACCAACAAATGTGAGAATTCCTGCCCTCATGGCGCTTGCATTCTGGCCAGGATGTTGGTGGTACTTATTACATCTCATTTGCATACATCCTGACTTCACACTAGTTAGGAAATTCTTTAAAGGCAGGTATCACTTTTAATTTATTTTTGAAGCCTTCTCGAAGTTTAAAAGTGGGCCACATCAGGTACTCAGTAAATGTTCACTGAATGAATTCTACTCAAGAAGATTAACAATAAGTGTATCCAGAAATGACTATGTCAAGTGACCACTGAGAACAGATTCCAAATCCAGGAGCAATGAATTTAAGTTTAGTGTATACACTAAGTGTGAAATAGTTTACTCATGAAAGAGTTCTCACTCAGAGCTTGTTTGCTTTGATTTACAATGCTGTTTTATCAAGCATTTCACAACCTGCAACAAAATAAGAAAAGCAAGGAAGAAGTAGATATGGATACGTGTGCATGAAACAGCACAAAAACTACAAACACTCTAGTGGAGTGTTCATGGTGCTCCATTTATTTTAGGAACAAATTTGATCCCATACACCTCCAAAGCCCTTAAGGAAAAGAAAACAAGGATGAATCAGATATGCTCATTATACGCTCATTACATCACAGTAAAAATTATTTTTAAAACCCTTTTGGAGTTTGGTTAAATTAAAATGGTACATTTAGAAAGTAACATGCCTCACAGTCATTGAAAATGTAGATGTCTATTAACATCAGATTGTGTTTAAGATATCTGTAATGAAAGAATACAGCTACAGTACTATACGATAATACAAATACAGTCTTTGTGGCATCAGTATGCTTACAGTATATAGAATATGGTCTGTGTGGATATTCTCCAAAATATGATTTTAAATTATAGTTTTAATATTATAAATTGATTATAAAAGTTTTTGTACTCTTCTATTTATTTGAGTATGTGTTTAGGTTTTATAATTAACTATGTTTTCATTATAAAAATAACAAGTACACATACATACCACACAGCTGATCTTTATTATCTGTGGATTCCAAATTTGTAAATTCACCTACTAGTTAAAATTTATCTATACATTTACAATATTTGTGGTGCTTTTGTGGTCACATGTTGTAGAGTGACATCTGAGTGTCACATGCATAGAGTGACATTTGAGTCATGCCATACACATATTCACCGCTGAAGCTAAACACCATGAAGCTTGGCCTTCTTTTGTCACTTCTCAAACTGTAACAGTCTTCTTTTCATGGACTATTTGGTGCCATATTTTTTGCATCTTTCTGCTTTTTGCAGTGATTTTGCTATTTACAATGACTCCCAATCACGGTGCTGCAGTGTTTCTAAGCAGAAAAGGTTGCGATGTGAAACTTTTATGGGAAAATTACCCATGTTAGATCAGCTTTGTTTGGGTATAAGTTACAGTGCTGTTGGCGATGCATTTAATGTTAATGAATTATTAATATACATATTAAGATGCATTTAAGAAGAAACAAGGTCATGTATTGATTATTGACTGTATGTTGTAATTAGAGACTTAGCGGAAGCCCGTCTCCTCTAGAAGCAGTGGTTAGTGTTTACTAATTCAGAGCTCAAGGTAACTACATAAACTATAACTCCAAAAATAATGAGAATCAACTGTACATATATAATATATAATTAAAAATATACTGAAATAGGAATCAGAAAATTTAAAGTTTTAGGTGAGTAATCAGCTGTACTTAGAGAAACCACAAGCATTTGGAGTCTCAGGTTATAAAACAGATCATTTATCTTCTATGTCTATTTGTTGTAATTGTCAAATGAGATCATGTATGAGAAGCCTTTTGTAGATTCTAATATAAATTATGAAGATAGAAAGTTACCAATATTAGGAGAAAATGTAAATGACGTTACAAAAATGAAACTTAAAAAATTAAATGATCAATCCTCAAAGGCCTTTATATATTTCAGTGCAAATAATTAGTTACATACAGGATATGACTATATTAAAACAAATGAAGAAAAAAACTTCTATGAGAATAAAAGGTAAAGTTTGTAACTGGCAACACTTATAATCTAATTCGGAAATTGAAGAAAAATGTTGATGAAAATTTGTAAAGTTGACACAACAGAAATGACGTCAGACATTCCACTGGCTGCCACATTGCCCACTTAGAATGTTAGAGGAGCAATTTCTTCACTAAGTGACACACTGGGCTCCATGGTCTTCAAGTCCTTTTAAACTCTTAGTGATTCCTGAGGGACTCGGAGTGTGAGGAGGAAAGAAAGGAGTTAAATACTACTGACCGAGCCTCTACTGTGTGCCAGGCTTTTTATCTTGAGTCATGATAAAGCTAAATTAACTATGTTTGTTGTATTATATTTAGTTATTTGGAAAATTCACACATGTGAAATAGCTATTGATAGCAAAAAAAATTATAGATACTCAGTAAATACTTCTTGAATTGATAGCTTTAACTGCCTTTAAACATAAGGTAAATTGTGAATGTATAAATAATTCCTTATTTATGTAAATTTAAGGGGTACAAGTGTAATTTTTTATATGAATATACTGCATTATAAATTAATTTCACAGTCCTAAAGATTTTACTGTTCACAAAAAACTCTACCTTTCTTTTTTAATGCCTGCTGAATCTCATCTCCTAGGCACCTCATTAAACAACTTATATTTTCTCATTTGGTGCCCACAAAAACCCCATGAAATAGTCATTACTCTCCCATTACAAGTAAGGGAAAAGCAGCACAGGAAGGTAAGTAACTCTCCAAGGCCACATACACGGTCAGTGAAGGCCAAGCATTTGATCGATGGTCTTTTTTTTTTTTGAATGACCGGTTCTTATGTTGCTCAGGCTGGCCTCAAATGCATAGCTTCACCTCCTCAAGCACCAGGACAACTGGCCTGACCAGCCACCCAGGCTACATTATTTTGGTGACTGAAATGACTAAGCATTTTCTTGTGCTCAGCCCCCTGCAGCTGCTGGGAGTTGGCTGGTGGTTGTGGTTATGGTTACTGGGCCACTGTAAAGGAGAACCCACTCTTTTTTTTCCCTTTTTCTCAAAATGTACCATTTAGTTGGGTGCTGGTTGAGGCCTGACCATAAAAACATGCTAACCAATCAGGCAGTCTGTGACAAAGTTCAAGAAGTGATCCCGAAGAAAAATGCCACAAGATTTCAGAGAAGGCAGATACAGTGATGGGACTGATATCACTGATTAAATCTGACTGCTGAAGAAGAGTGGGAGGAAGGTTTTCAAGAAAAATAAACAATGTGCACAAGTCTTGGAGGGTATCGCTATACTGGAAAGCTTCTGAGAAAAATAAAACCCTTATTTACCTGATTAAACATTGGTGTTCGTGATTAATGGGAGGCAAAACTAGAAAAAACTGGGCTGAGTCTAAGTTTAAAATTCCTTCTTCAAAAAACGACATTTTCCTCTTCCCTTAAACAGATATTCTTGGGAGCACTACCTAGGAATTACCACAAGAGGGCAGGATTTTCCTAAGAGTCTACTTTTAGAATTGCCATAAAAAATATTTTATATTCACTTGATTTCAACAGAAACTATCACTTTTTCTCATCTTGAAGGGAAGGTGGATTCCTGTCTCAGGACTTGATATATTTTCCCATTTTGGGCTAAGTCTTGTCAAATCCGTGGTAATACAGTGTGGAAGTGGGGAAGGCAAATAAAAAATAATAAAAACAAAACTTTTTTCTAATGCCTTTATTCAGCAACGATTCCACCAAATCATTATAATTTTCCACCAAGCCTTTAGAACTATGACACCCTTCCAAGAACAAGGTAGGTTTCTGGATAGAAAAAATTATCAAGAAGCTAATGGTTGCTGGCCAGGCACGATGGCTCACGCCGTAATCCCAGCACTTTGGGAGGCTGAAGCAGGCAGATCACCTGAGGTCCAGAAGTTTGAGACCAGTCTGCCCAACATGGCGAAACCCCGTCTCTACTAATAATACAAAAACGAGCCAGGCGTGGTGGCGGACGCCTGTAATCCCAGCTACTTGGGAGACTGAGGCAGGAGAATTGCTTGAACCTAGGAGGCGGAGGTCGGAGTGAGCCAAAATATGACATCACTGCACTCCAGCCTGGGTGACAGAGTGAAACTCTGTCTCAAAAAAGAAAGAAAGGAAGAAAGAAAGAGAAAAGCTAATGGTTGCTGTTTAGTTTAGTTTTGTTTTTCATGCTTGCATACATCAAATCTCAGAAGGAACCAGTTTAATCTCAATATACGCACTTTACTTTGGGTACTGAGGATAAAAAGCTTGTCATCTGGCTCTAGTAGCTTGCATGCATAAGCTATGTTGACAGCTGTCTCCTGCTTGTCCCCTGTCAGCATCCACATCTTGATTCCAGCTTTGTGAAGAGCTTCTATGGATTCAGGGACTCCCTCCTGCAGCCGGTCTTCAATGCCAGTAGCACCTAAAAAATAACCAAAATGCAACAGGACTTGTAAGAAACCAAAGCCAGCTGAAGCTCACCTAGTGTACAATTTAATCATATCTACTAGCCAACTCAACCCTAAACTATATAAACTGCCCAGTTGATTCAGGAGAGTCAAAGGAGGTTTGACAACCCAGACCAAAATTATACGCAATGTAATATTCTGGGAAGGAAACCTCAGGGATCAATGGATTTATCACACTTACTTGTTCTCCTTTTGGCTAGTTTTCTAATCTGTAAATTGAAGGGGTTTGAGTCAATTATTTATGTAACCATATTCTACAATTTTATTATTCTATGATATATCCAAGAATAAGGGCAGGATTTTATTTATTTTTATTTTTATAGATTTAAGCAGTGCAAATGCAGTTGTGTTGCACTGACATATTGTGTAGGGGTGAAATATGGGCTCTCAGTGTAACCATCATGCAAATAGGGTAAACTGTACCTGTCAGGGCAACTCATCCCTTGCCCCCGAACCTATCCTCTGCCTTTCTGAGTCTCCAATGTCTACTATTTCATTTTCCATGTTCATGTGTAAGCATTATTTGGCTCCCACTTATAAGTGAGAACATGTGGTATTTGACTATCTGTTTCTGGGTTATTTCACTTAAGATAATGGCACCCAGTTCTACCCATGTTGCTGCAAAAGATGCAATATCATTCTTTTTTTATGGCTGAGTAGGATTCCGTGGTGTGTATGTGATACATATATATATACACGATATGTATATATATCACATATTCTTTAATTGTTTGTTGATGGACACTTAGATTGATTCTATGACTTTGCTATTGTAAAGAGGGCTGTAATAAACTTCTAAGTGCGGGTACCTTTTTGATATAATGATTTACTTTCCTTTGAGTAGATACTCAGTAGTGGGATTGTTAGATTGAAGGGTAGTTCCATTTTCAGTTCTTTAGAAATCTCCATACTGTTTTCCACAGAGGTTGTACTAATTTACATTCCAACCAGCAGTATGTAAGCATTCCCTTTTCTCTGCAACCTTGCCAACATCTGTTGTTTTCTGACGTTTTAGTAGCCATTCTGACTGGTATAAGATGGCATCTCATTGTGGTTTTAATTTGCACTTGTCTGCATCTGATAGTGATGTTGAGCATTTTTTCATGTTTGTTGGCCACTTGTATGTCTTCTTTAGAAAAATGTCTGCTCATGTCCTTTAAAGGACCAGGCTTTGAGAGAATGCTCTTGCCAATAAGATGTGATGTCTATTTGTGACGTTCTTTCATAGGTCTACAGTTCCCTTTTCTGAAACAATTGGGACCATATGTGTTTTGGATTCCAAATGTTTTTCAAATATTAAAAAATATTTTTAAAAAGTAGTATGGTACCTATACCATATTCTATAATACTTGGTAATCAAGCTTATTAATATTTCTGCAGGAAAACTTAAAAATGTTCACACAAATTAGGATAATAAAGAACTATTTCATAAATAGTCTTATGTCAAATCAGGCCTGATTTTTCTGCCAAATGAATTTTGGCACTAAACCCATGGAGTATTTTTGATTTTTGAATCGCTGATGAGGAAATGTGGATGTATACTACTTACACTGTCACGGAGAAAGCACTTAGGGTAAGCATCATTGCTGTATCTGCTAGATAATAAGCTAGGTCAATGTTTTCCTCCTAAACAGAGGAATGGAGCTCAGAAGCTGGTCTCTTGGTATATCAGAGTTTATGTTAGAATCTAGATCTCCAGACTCTAAACAGTGGCTCTCAAACTTGACCACCTTTAGCATCACTTTAGGGAACTTTAAAAAGTTCTAGTGCCCAAGCCATACAACAGATCATGTAAATCAGAATCCCAGGGGATAGGATGCAGCATCAGTATTTTTTTAAAAGCACTTCAGATAATTCTAAAATGCAATTTAATCCAAGACAAAAGGTGTCAGTTGTGCAACTCTAGTTGAAATCAGAAAGAGAAGAAAAATAAATTTCTTTAATCCAGAACCAGGTACAGGATAAATAGCTGGGACCCGGAGCCAGGCAGACATGAGTTCCACGTTGGGTTAATGAGTAACTGTCAGCTACTGGCAGGCGACCTTGAACAAGTCATTGAACTGCTCTGTGCCCCAAATTATAAGATGCAGATTTGCTGTGAGAGTTCAAAAAAAGATAACACATATTAAGCACCTTATCCAATGCCCGAAAAGAAACTCTATTCTTGATATTTATCTTGATGTGAACCAAGATATTTATTTGGAACATTTAGTTGGCTTTGTATTCTATGTTTAGTGTTGGGTTTTATGTGATCTTCTTAATGTGACAATTCTGATCCCACCACAAGTGCAGTCTAGTTCACTGCAGTGGAAAACAGAATAGAATGGACTGGAAGTTGGATCGAGATCACACTGGACACGGCAGGCAGAACCATATATGTTTATTAGATCGTAGAGGGAAAAAAAAGCACTGGTGAACAGCCCTTATTCAGAGATAACCAGCATTTTTCAAAATCCTCCATTCAGGCAATACAACATCATTCACCTACCAAGTAATGTAAGTTTGTTCTCCAACCTCATGGCAGATTCAAGTAGTAATTCTTCCCTGTTGTCAATGCTGGTTTCAGCTAAAAAATGATTCCTCAGCCACTCTGCATATTCAGCGTCACTCATGACCTATGGGAAGAATTAAAAGAGAGGCATGAAGCAAGCCATATGATCTTGCAGGCATACCAGGGCTGACCTTTGGCAAAATATCAAACCATCAACTCATTTTACATACTCCTTCCTCTGGGCACAGCCAAGTCAGGTTCACATCCTCACACCACCTGAACACTAGCTTCCCAAACTCTGCGATCAGACAAGTGCAACATGGATGACGGATGGAGCCTTTAACTCAGCATCTCCGGAAATTCCAGGCACCATGTATGATGACAGTGAAAGAAGGCAGGTGAAACAAGTCTTAATCCAAACAAAAATTCAATAAAATTCCTGGAAAAGTGATCAATGATGTATTTTCCTTTGTCTTTAGGTTGCCATAGAAGGAGAAATCTACATTTCAGTTTTTATAAAGCAGCATGGAGTAAAGGGGTGAGGCGATTCCTCTCTCTCTACTCATTCTTGCCCACAGGTCCTTGGATTTGAGATAATCTGACACCTGTTGGGCTACATTTTTATCAAGGGCAGGATCATTCAAATGAAAAGGTAGAGTTGGTTTGATCTTGAATTCTCCATTCTTCCTTCAACTGTGTGTGGGGCAGGGATTTTTTTTTTTTTTTTTTTTTTTTTTTGAGATGGAGTTTTGCTCCATCACCCAGACTGGAGTGCAGTGGCGCGATCTCAGTTCACTGCAACCTCTGCCTCCCAGGTTCAAGCAATTCTTTTGCCTCAGCCTTCCGAGTAGCTGGGATAACAGGCATGAGCACCAGACCTGGCTCATTTTTGTATTTTTAGTAGAGACGGGGTTTCACCATGTTAGCCAGGCTGGTCTCGAACTCCTGACCTCAGGTGATCCACCTGCCTTAGCCTCCCAAAGTGTTGGGATTACAGGCGTGAGCCACTGCGCCCAGCTATCAGGCTTTTGATTCCTCATGCAGCTGGTTGACTGAGTTCCTTAGGGTCTACAACAGATTCCACTTTCCCTAATGCAGCTCTCATGAACTAGAACATGGGTAAGAAATGAAGAGTTCTGATAAGAACATCCCTCAAATAATTTCTTGGAGTTCCATCTTCTTTCTTACTACACTTTTATTTAGAAAGAATATGCTATGTACCAAAATCATTCTCAATAGAGAATAATCAATACTGAGATAATATCTAAGATATTTACCTGGATTTACATATAAAAAGTTATAGGCACATAAGAATATTGAGAACTTACAATTAAAAAATTAAGGCTCATCTGTGGCATTCTTTTCCAAGCATATTTAATGCTGTAAGACAGAGCGAACATTTTCAAAGTCCTGAGGGGAAGAAAGTAGGATCCAGAGATTTTTGTTCCCAGCCAAACAACTGTTTACATATGAAGGCACTCACTGACATATTAAAACATGCAGGAACTTAAGAGAAAATAACTTTCAGGGACCCTTCTAGCAAAATACTTTGAACAAACTTCAAACTAACCAATATATGGAATAGAGTAGGTAAAAAGAGAGCCAGTGTCCAGAGGACTTTCCCCAGTGCCTGGATTAGGGTTTGCCACATGCTGGTTTCCAGTCAATGAATAAGGGAAAAAAAACAAAAAAGGTGGAGGAGCACACTAAGCAGTCTCACCTTCTTTGCTATACATAGAGTACGAAGGCCGTGTTTGGCATAGTCATCTAAGTGCTTCTGGGTTTTCTCCCTTATTATCATCTGCTGTTTTTCCAGACTTGCTCCATCTGAAATAATGGACAAGATGCTTGAGTTCCTACCAGTCTGCCCAATTACAGAAATAGTTTTAAAAGCAACAATAGTTTAATCCACATTAAACAAACAAAAAAAGCCTTCTGGTTTTGAATCCCAAATGGGTATCTGTAAAAGGGACCACTCAGAATAAATCTTTCCTTCGTTTCCCCTTGGGCAGAGGGAAGTACAAGAACTTGATACAAACACTGTTCCCACATAATCAATAACACAGTAACATAACTATAATAATGCTGCTAGCTAACATTTATTGGGCGCTTACCATTTGCTGGACACTTGGCCAAAGGCTCTTCATACATTTCATATAGTATGTCATTAAACCTTTCAAGAATCTACCAAGGAGGTACTCGCAGACCCACTGAGTTGAAGACTTACACACAGAATAGTTAGGTAACTCTATGAAGATCCAGCTAATGATGGAGTTCACATTTGAACTCAGATCTGGGTAGCTCTAAAACTTACTCACTTTCCCATCAAATCCTAGGCAGCTTCTCTCTACTTCACCAAATGAGATTAATGCCCAAATATCTATTTCTTTGCCTTTATAAAGCCATCGAATGTGGTCTTTTAATCTTCAAGATTTTCAAATCACCATGTCACCTTTTATAAACTTACCTGGGGAAGCCACTGACAACAACTCCATGATCACAGAATCAGCACCCTTTGTATACACCACAACTTGATTGGAAAGGGGGTGCCGGACCACAACAGACATTCTTTTTCTTACTGAGTCAAAGGGCAGGATGTGTAGAAGTTGAAATGTTAACGGTCCCAAAGCAGCAAAGTCCACCATGACCTGCTCCGGTGTCCGGGACTGTAAAGTGCATTGGTAAGCCCTGGCAGCATACACTAAGGCCGCTTCATCTGGGCTCTCGGCCTCATAACACAGGTTGCAGGCTAATGGCTGTCCAGAGAGGGACTCCACCTTGCCATTCAGGAGGCCTCCATCACTGTGTTGTTTCTCTGTTTCTGTGCAGCAAGCTGAGCTACTGGAGCATTGGGGGCTCTCACACATCTGGGAGACTTCTTCCTCCACAGGTGAAGCCAGTTTCATTCGACTAAAGAGAGGGAGTCTGCTCACAAAGGCGTTCGGAACTCCGGAAGATGGCTCTTTCCCACTGGTAAGCGATGGAGAACTTGATCTTCGCACAGACAATCTCTGGAAAAGATTTTTAATCTCTTCCAAAGACTTAATGGGCATCCCTCCCAGTGAAGGGTGTCTGATCTATGAAAGACAATTTAGGAAGGTCTCAATACAGTCAAAAGCAGTTTATAACAACTTTGAAGGCAAACTGAGAATAAATTAGATATAAAAAGAGTTACCACTCTCTTAAATGGCTAGCAGCCTGCTCCCTATTTACAACCACCATGGAAAATATTAATAAAAATAAAAATTTGTGTTTTTATAAATATTTAAATAATTTGATTTTTATTAACATTTTAAATGTTAACTTAATACTTTGTGAATATTTTAATAATATTAAAATGAATGACATACATTCCTACAACTATTTAAAAATAAATTTGACAACTGATAATAAAAGATATAAAATGCTAATATTTCTAGCAGTGGACATCCTTCAGCAATTTTTTTCCTAAAAAAAAAACTTGAAATATAGAAACTCTAAAATCATTATTGTGTGCATCCTAACAATAACAATTTTAAAATGATAAGCAAATTAAGTATTCAATAACAGCAAAATAGACACATCTTGAAATGTTATATAATATTTAAAAATAAAGCTTATAAAGTCTATAGGGCAATATTGAAAAAGCTATGAGACTAGTGTAAAAAAGTAACAAATAAGTAATAATACTCATAACAAAAACACCAGAAGAAAGCAAATCAAAAGATTACACACATTTTTCTCTTATTTTCCAGATTCTACAGAAGTTTGTTACTTTGACTTTTAAATAGACCAATAAGCAAACTACCTTCATCAAGAAGCGTTATCAATATCATAATGTGGATTTGAATTTCTATTTTCATAGAACTTTTTCTTATTCATACCCTGGCTTCTCTTAAATCTTAACTTTCATCAGTGATTAAACTTAGAAATTCACACTAATCATGGAAGACCAATTAATTGGAGGGAAAAATTTTCTCATTTAGAAATGCTCAAGAAATTAAAAAGTTTCCCCCTAAAAAGAACTAATTTTATAATAATTTGAAGGTCTTATGCTGATTGATTTTCAAATTTATTAGCAACTCAGAAGTGAAGCGTAAAACCCAGTCACAGATGAGGCTTCTGTATTCCACATGAATGCTGAGTAGCTGCTTATTCACTGCCTTTCTATCATTACCTTGAAATACCATGAGGCTTAGACTCTTACATGCTTCAGAGATTTTCTTTCAAGCAGTAAAATATATTCTTTGGGAATAAGGCAATAATATTTCTTAAAAGGCAAATACCAAAAGATGCTTACTTTGGAAACAGATTTATTAGAAAAATTATGTGGGGGGAAAAGAACAGCCTTTATTCTCTAACTGCATAATCACTTTTTCAAAGAGCAACTTCCTGAAGGCAAAGCCTTCTAAAAATACAGGTCCTGATAAAGCACAACTTAATTGGAAGTAAATTATTTTTATGTTAAAGTTGACCAACTCTGAAGCTGCCAAAAGAAAATGAACTGATGGAAAATTAAATTGAATTGGGTTGTGCTGCAAATTGAATTTTAAGTGTGTAAAAGGTGAGACAGTTACACACAACGAGGCTAACACAGCAAGTGGTGAATCACCAGCCTGTTAAACAAGTTTTCCTTTTCATTAAAAATGAATTTTCCATGAATTCTAAGCTACAAGTAGACTTTAAAAATCCAGCTTTTTTTGGGAGCGGGGGCAGCTGTAGTGGCTCATGCTTGTAATCCCAGCACTCTGGGAGGCTGATGTGGGAGGATTGCTTGAGCTCAGCAGTTCAAGACAAGCCTGGAAAACATAGCAATATCCCATCTCTACAAAAAATTTAAAAAATTAGCTGGGAATGGTGGCAAACACTTGTGGTCCCAGCTACTCAGAAGGCTGAGGCAGTAGGACTGCTTGAGCCCAAGGCTACAGTAAGCTGTGATTGCACCACTGTGCTTCAGGCTGGATGAAAGAGTTGAAGCCCTGTCTCAGAAAAAAAAAAAAAAAAAGAAAGGCAGGACACGGCAGCTCATATCTGTAATCCCAGCACTCTGGGAGGCTGAGGCGGGTGGATCACCTGAGGTCAGGAGTTCAAGACCAGCCTGGCCAACATGGTGTAACCCTGTCTCTACTAGCACTACAAAAATTAATGGGGCATGGTGGTGGGCGCCTATAAGCCCAGCTACTCGTGACGCTGAGGCAGGACAATTGCTTGAACCTGGGAAGCAGAGGTTGCAGTGAGCTGAGATCATGCTACTGCACTTCAGTCTGAGAGACTTGGTGAGACTCTAAGGAAAGAAAAATCTGGCTTGGTAATGTACTGGATTTTACACGGATTAAATCTAACCCAACTGGTATGCAAAAAGATACATTATCATTAAACAAGAAATTGAATCCAATACTGTATATTTTTCTTGATATACTGCATATGATGTTGGAGGTCTCAGAAGCCTCAAAGAAAGCTTCAATTTGGCAAAATAAAGCAAAAAGAACTGCTCTCATCAGTACCTTCTTAGACGCATATAATACAGTAGCACTGAGCTATCTATATTTCCTAGGTTCAAATCCCATCTCTCCAAACCAGTTTTGTGACCCTGGGAAAATTACTTAGCCTCATCTGTAAAATGGAGAATAGTAGGGTAATAGCATCTAACTCATAGGATTGTTAGCAGGATTAAACTTGTTAATACCAATAAATCCCTTAGACCAGCGGTCCACAACCATTTTGGCACCAGGGATCAGTATTGTGAAGACAATTTTCCACTGATGGGTTGGGTAGTTCTTCAGCTCATCAGGTATTAGTTAGATTATCTGGGCATTAGTTAGATTCTCATGAGGAGAATCATGCAACCTAGATCCCTTGCATGTGCAGTTTAATAGGGTTCACGTTCCTATGAGAATCTAATGCTGCCCCTGATCTGACAGCAGGCAGAGCTCACTGGCCCTCTCCTCCCCTCCTGCTGTGCAGACTGGTTCCTAACAGGCCACAGACTGTTACTGATCTGCGGCCCAGGGGTTTGGGGACTCATGACACAGCCATGGTAAAGTGCAGAGCACAGAACAAATGCTAACTAAATGCTATATAGCTGCTATTATTTATCATTTTTATCCATATATCAGGCTCAGTACAGATACATTTAAACCCAAAATTCTCTTCTGGAAAGTGACCGTTGTTTGCATTAGAGACCTTACCTTTTGTCGGGGTTGGTTAGGAGCAGAAACCACTACTGTATTGCAAATTGCCAATGCAATGAAGAAGTCGACGATGTACAAAGTTTCCAGTGGTGGATTTTGGATGGTCTCATCTAGTGGCATAAAGAGCCGGGGTGTAATCTGACTAAATTTGTCTAAAAGCCTGGTGTCTGGTACCACATCTGTTTCCTGAAGATCCAATAAGACAGTGTATTATTATAATAAGTATATAAAAATTAGTTTTAAATCAACATGAGAAACAACTTTTATAGCCAAGATCTAAATGAATCATGAGACAGTGAACTTTATTTTTCTGAAAACAATTTTAATGTATACTGTGTCATGGGAAGTGAGAACAGGAAAATAAAAGATACAAAAATAAATGAAAAATCCAGAATGCACATTAGCAATGGAAACTATCTTAACTATGAAACTAAACAGGAGTTTGGTTTCCACCAAATCTAGTTGAGTGTTTTCTCATTTTGAAATACATAACTGCAGAGATACACAGTATTTTGTTATGGCAGCCTGAATGGACTAAGACACTATTTATGTTGTCAATTCAGGGAAGCAGATGAGTGCATGACTGAAAGGCTGTACTGTGTCTATGAGAACGGAAGTAATTCTGAAGTTGGCCCAAGCTGGAGGTGAGTGGGAACAGAGTGTGAAAGTGGGCACTCTGATCAGCAAAACTATGCTGAGAAGTACTGTCAAAATAAAGTGGGAAAAATCTATAAAGTCAGGACCATAGAAGACCTTGAAAAGCACCATAAAACAATATACATGACAGAGCCCAGAAGATTTAAGGAAAGGCCTACATACAAAGAAGCTTCAGGCATGGATCATTCTTCTGCTTTAGTTGGTCCAACTAAAATAGGTTAATTTCTTTTATTATTATACTTTAAATTCTGGGGTACATGTGCAGAATGTGCAGGTTTGTTACATAGGTATGTATACACATGTCATGGTGGTTTGCTGCATCCATCACCCCGTCATCTACATTATGTATTACAGAGTTACCACATGAAATTCTTATCTGCATGACTGTATCCGTAGCTGTTTCTTCAAATCTTCCTTAGGAGACTCATGATTACATTATTAACTTTTGCTCTTTTTTCCCTGATCGTCGGCTTCTGCCTTCTCTGGATGTCTTAACTTCAGAACCAGCCTCAAACCATCTTGCTTTAAATGATTCCTTACATATGTATGGAGTCTCTCCCCAGAGAATTTGGAAGGCCCATTAAAGTAAGGACTATACCATATTGATCTCTGGATCCCTAACTCAGTACTGGACACATGGGCAATATAAGTGTATTATCATATGTTACTATCATTTGCTAATTTCATATCACATAAGGAATGAGAGAGAAAAAAACATGAAAAAAATGTTACTCATTGGAAAATAAACACATGTTACCTCCCACTGGGCTCAAGTAGATATCTTTTTAAAATTCAAGAAAATTTATACTTCTAATCAAAGCACAGAGTATGATGCAGACAGCTTCCCATGTAAACAGAGCCTTATTTGGTTTCCTGTTGAGAGTCTAGTATCTTTGTTCTAGTCATGCATGGTATCTCAAATCTTAGATTTACCCTCATGATTCCTATTATGCCTTCCTACTAAGTTGTAGATTTCACATTCAGGTTTCCTCCTATTTTTTTTCCTCTCTCCTCTATTTAAATTCAAATTAAGCAAGCAAAAATGGGCCAAAACTCCTTTTTCCTTCTAATAGTGTTCATTGAATCTTTTGAATAGCTTTCATATAATTTAAATGTTAACTTTGTTTTAAAACAGAGCGTAGCATCAGCCGACTATAATTGTTTGTGCAAAACTTAGAAAAACCCTCAACTGAGTAACGGACAAAGACACTTTAGATGGGATTTAAAGTTGACCGAGGAGCTCTAATACTGTTTTTTTACTCCTCCCTGATTCCACCCATACCCAGGGTTTTTCGTTTTATTGCCGGATGCCACTCCACTCATTTTAAGGGTTCACTACTCCACCACTGCAACTTTGGCTTAAGAGTGGACCCAAATAACTTCTATTGCCACCACCCCCTCCTTACTGATGCCTAAACAGCACAGTCCTGAAAAAAAAAGACAAAGTTCAATAACCACATGCTGACAATTTCTCCTGCATACCACGTTCTCCCATGAACCTGTGGTTCTGAATGTCTGCATGTACCACGTGCTGTCAGCTCCAAATGCCTTTCCTTCCTCTTCCAATCTGTGAACCTCTCTGCTCACTATTTTAATCCTAAATTGTAGGTCTTCCAGGCAGCCTTTCTTAATCCTTCCTCACTCCCTTAGAGCTAATCACCCCCTTCTTTGTGGCCTTACTATAGTTTGGATTAACTACGACTACGTCTTTAATACAGGACTATAATTATTTGCTTATATGTCTATCTTCTCTACTTAGAACAAAACTGAAGGCTGAAGCCAGGTCTTAATCACTTTACATCTTCTTGTCCAGTACTGTGCCATGCTTTCCATTAATTCATTAATAAATTCATTATCCCATAAATATTTACTGCTGATCTGTGGTACCAGGCACCCCTGAAGGGAAGAGGAGTACATAGAACAGATAGGGCCGGGAGCGGTGGCTCACGCCTGTAATCCCAGCACTTTGGGAGGCCGAGGTGGGTGGATCATGAGGTCAAGAGATCGAGACCATCCTGGTCAACATGGTGAAACCCCGTCTCTACTAAAAATACAAAAATTAGCTGGGCATATCAGAAATATGTTTTTGATACAGGTGGCATGCGCCTGTAGTCGCAGCTACTTGGGAGGCTGAGGCAGGAGAATTGCTTGAACCCAGGAGGCAGAGGTTGCGGTTTGCCGAAATCGCACCATTGCACTCCAGCCTGGGTAACAAGAGCGAAACTCCATCTCAAAAAAAAAAAAAAAAAAAAAAAAGAACAGACAGGATCCTGGCTTACATGAAATTCATATTCTACCTGGGGGAGAGGGTAGATCCAAAATGATCCCAACAGCAAATAAATAAGATGCCCTTATACTGAGACAGAGAGAGACAAGGGAGAGATGGAATGTAATTGGAACTAGGTGGCAGAGAAGGCTTCACTGAGAAGATATTTGAGCTGAGACTCAATGACAGAAAGGAGACAGCTATACAAAGATCTAAGAGAAGAGCGTTTCATGCAGAATAAAGAGTATGCTTGTTGAATGAAAAACTCCAGAGGATGAAAGACGAATAAACATAGTGGCTTACAAAGTAAAGGTTTCTATTTCTAAAACAGGCAATATGAACCCAGGGTTCATGGAACTCAGTGACATTCTAATGCCCAAAGGCTGGCACATCTGCATCAGCACCCTGCCTAGCATCCTCACTTGCTGGCTCACAACTCGCCTCCTTTGAAGGGTGGCATCTTACAACCTTCCACTCTTAGACATCACAACTCTCAGAATGCCTTCAAGCTGGTGTCATTTACCTGGGCTCCTCAGATGGGCTTTTAGAATTTTATATAATGTATTTGCAGATGCTCATTTTTCAGTTCAAAGATTATATAGCTTTCTCAAAATAATCTTTAGTCTTCAAAAAGGATAAAATCAACTTGCTTAGACAAAGACTGAGAAATAATCTTACTGAGGAAGACCGGGACCCTGTTATTCTATATGTTAGGGGTATGGTTTTGCAAAACACAAACAAAACAGTGGCTGCAATAACAGCAACACAAGAGCATCCATATAATCAGTAATGACATTGGAGTATAAGGCAAATGAAAATAAAATGGCCCAGATGAAAAATCAGCCTGGTAAGTAGCTTCCTTCAACAACCTTTAAAGATACTTAATTGAGAACAGACATGCCAGACATTGTGCTAGATGTTGATTCAAGATGGATAAATCCTTCTCTCAAGGAGTTAATGGTGAAATGCCAGAGGCAGAAATAAGACCAATGCCATGTGGATGAAGGGACGTAGGAATGGTGTAAACAGAGCTCGGAAGCTGGAAGAAGAGAATCTGTGAGTCTTCAGAAAAGGTGATATTTAATTTAGTTCTTAAAGGAATAAATATTTCACCAGATTTGGTGAACAGAGGCAGAATATGAAGAGAGAATATATTTTAGACAAGGTAAATTGTATCTACAAAGGGACAAAGACTTTAAGCTAAGAAAAACCAATTATTTGTTCCACAAAGAGGGTGAGGTTTGATCAGGAAACCAATAAGCTGTGGTTATTGGTAATTGGTATTTGGTAATAAGACTCACCTTATTACCAAACTGTGCTGCTTCTGTCTAAACAAAAGCCAACATGTTCTTACTTTCAGGTGGATAGAAAATGAAAAGGTTCAACACAAGGATAGATAAAAAGACAAAATATAAGAAAATATATTGATAGAAAATAGAAGAAAAACATATTTCTGATATGGCCTTATCATGACTATACAGAATGAACTGTGTGCATCCCTTTCTTCTTCCATTTCAAAAGTTGGAGAAACATTAAGTCTTGGAATCACCTGATACGGCTAAGATAATAGTTTTTATATTAGTGCCACAGAGATGTGATGGACTGAAATGATCGCTCCAGTTGCTGTAATTATGCATTTGTTGACAATTTGAGAAGAGCCAGGATCCTGAGAAGCCCAAGGCCTTCCCAGGACAAACGAGACCCCTGGGGTCTACTCATATCATGTCTCTACTATGAAAAACATACAATAGATTCAATGTAGAAACACAAAGCTTCCCAAAAGCTGATTTATTCTTGTGTTGTCTCCTATTTTGGAGGTATTATCAGTCTGGTGGCTGGGAAATCCTCATCTTGGTAAAACACAAGAGTAAAATGTAAAAGGCAGAGAAGGAAACTGAACTTTTATAGAGGTAATTTTAAATCGAGCAAAACTTTGATTTTTAATTTTTTTTCACGCAGCATCTTTCCCTCTTTTCCCATCTTCTGCATGGTCCTCTAGTTCTTCTGGAGTAAAATGAATTTGTTAATGGATGTGACTAGACAGTTCCTGACACTTCCCACTGGAACTCACGAACACATCCTGTTGACCTCTGAAATGGATATATTAGAAAATGACCTTCTGGAGGCTAGGAATGGGGAAGAAACCACAAATTTGATGGGATTTGGGAAATTACAGAGCAATAAAAAGTAATTCAATGTACTACATGGCCTATGAATGTCCCTATAAATTACATATGCTTATCTGTCTAGGAGATAACTCTGGTAAGCTTTGCTGGGTCTGACAGTGAACCATGATTCTTAAACCAAGGCAGCTTTCTTCAGGCTCACACATGATCAGCCCTGACTAGAAACATTATATATTTTTTCAGAAATGGTATACTACTTCTCAACATTGAGTTATTTTTTAAAAATAGGATACTGTGATATTGTTTGTTGATACTTCTAATTATGTGTAGGGATCTTACTGAGCTGCAATCACGTAGTCTCTTGTAAGGTAGAAAAGACAACAGAGTTTGACTCTATTATAATTACAGGTCTGTTCTTTCACCAAACATTGTGGGTGTGCAAGATTCTAGTCATGCATTCACACTTACAATGGGGCTACTGAAAGCAGCCTGTCTGGAATGAGGCACTTCACTGGCTCCTTCTCCGCTTCTTAGATTAAAAGAGCTCCCAGCAAGATGATTTGAAGGCTTATTTCCCAAAGGCCCATTATGAACTGTCCCGCAGCTGGGGACTCTCGGTTTTGCCATATTGCTCACGGAACCACTGAGTGTGTCTGTAAAATCTTCATCTTCAGAGACAGCTTCCTGATAGGACTCCAACCTCTTGGCTGTGGGATAAAAAGCACACAGAGTCAGCATCTGAGAAGAACCACTTACAAGTTGAAAGTATCAGGCAGTTACTCAAGCAGCCATTTCACACCATCTCCTCACCTTTCAAACCTGGTTGCCAAGGCCTACCTCCCATACCCTTAGTCAATGAACTTACCTTATACCTCACTGAGAAAAGTAGAAGCAATCAGATCAAAATTCCCTTGTTTTTCTGCATCAAATCTCCCTACTTATCTGCATCAGTACTCATACTCTCGGCTTTTCCTCCTCCTACTGTGGACAAAGCATCTCTCTTTGTTTCGGACACAAACTCTTCACTTGTCATCTGAATCTCACCTCTCTGAACTCAATGACTTCACCCTTACAATCCTTTCCTCTTTCACTGACACCAATCTCTCCTTAAGTAAATTCACGACTTTCTGTCCCCATCTCTCCACTGACATTGCTTTTGTCAAGGTCACCAGTGAGCTCCACGTTGTCAAATCCAATGATCATATCCATCCCTGTCTTATGTGAACGCTTAGTAATAACCAATAGACTTGGCCATTCTTTCCTTCTTGAAATGTCTCTTTTGGTTTCTCTGATGCCACACTTACCTATTTTTCCTCCTACTTCAATGGCTTTTTCTTCTTAGTTTCTCCTGCTGTCTTCTCCTTTTGGCCCTCAAATACTGGAGAGTTGCAGAAGTGCCTTCCCTTCTCTACCTGCATCTTCCTTGGTAACCTCATATGGTCCCATCTTTGAAAGGACCTATATATAGGCATAAACCTATAATTTCAACTCTGACCTCTCACTGGAATTCAGATTCATGCATCCAACTGTCTTCTTCATACCCACACTTGGGTGCTTATGAGGCTTTTTCAGTAGATGTAGGCATGGCTCACTCCCTTACCTTTTACAAGTCTCTTATCACATACCCTTGTCAGTGAAGACTTTCTAGATCTGACCACAAAATTTATAATAGATCCCATGCCAAGACCCACCACCATCTACACATACATATCTTATTGATTTTATTTTTTGAATCATCCAGTAGCACGTAACATTCAAAAGGGCAGAGAATTTTATCTGTTTTGCCAACATGATAATCTCAGACTTCAAAGCAGCAGTTGATAGGTACCATCTTTGTAAATGAAACTTAAGGAGTTATGCAGTTACTTAAGCCAGAAATCTAGAATTCTCCTTAATCCCTATCTTCTTTTTTTTTTTTTCAAATTCCTATCTTCTTTCTTATGTTCAAAGTATCACTGACATCTGTCCTCCATACATCCAAAAAATATCTCAAATAACTCTACTTCTCTCCATATCCATTACCTTAGTCCAAGCCACCATCATCTCTCAACTGGACCAGTTCATTAGTCTCATAACTGGTCTCCTTGCCCCTCTGCAATCCATTTTTCAAATAGTAGCTAGAGTGATCTTCCTAAAAAATAAAGCAGATCAGATCACTTCCTGCAGAAAATGCTCCAGTAGCTTTACAATTCACTGAGAATAAAATCTGGACTCCCTATCCCGGCTTATATAACTCGAGATGATCAAAGCCATGCTGACCTACCTAACTTTGCTTCTCCTTCTACATGCCCACTAAAATCCAGACTCACTGGCCTGCTTTCTTTCTTTCTTTCTTTCTTTTTTTTTGAGACGGAGTTTCGCTCTTGTTACCCAGGCTGGAGTGCAATGGTGCGATCTCGGCTCACCACAACCTCCGCCTCCTGGGTTCAGGCAATTCTCCTGCCTCAGCCTCCTGAGTAGCTGGGATTATAGGTACGCGCCACTGTATCCAGCTAATTTTTGTATTTTTAGTAGAGACAGGGTTTCACCATGTTGACCAGGATGGTCTTGATCTCTTGACCTTGTGATCCACCTGCCTCTGCCTCCCAAAGTGCTGGGATTACAGGCGTGAGCCACCATGCCCGGCCCTTTCTTTACTTTGAAAATCAATAAGCTCACCCCTGCCTGAGGGCCTCTTTACCAGATGTTCCCTCTGACTGGAAGCCTTTTGTATGGAATTTCAACATTATGTCATTCAGATCTAAGCCCCTATGTCCCACTTAGAGAGGCCTTGCCTGATCCTCCAGTTTGAAATAGTCATCCAATCATTTTATATCATACCACCATATTTTAATTTTCTACCAAGCACTTATCACTAATTTTTTTATTGATTTAAAAAAATCAGCATGGTGGCTCATGCCTGTAATCCCAGTACTTTGAGAAGCCGAGGTGAACGGATCACGTGGTCAGGAGATCAAGACTAACCTGGCCAACATGGTGAAACCCCATCTCTACTAAAATACAAAAAATCAGCCAAGTGTGGTGGCGCACACCTGTAATCCCAGCTAATCAGGAGGCTGAGGCAGGGGAATCCGATTAAACCCAAGAGGCAGAAGTTGCAGTGAGCCGAGATTGCACCACTGTACTCCAGCCTGGTGACAGAGCAAGACTCCGTCTCAAAAATAACAATAATAATAATGTATTTGTGAATATTTTCTCTAACAGCAGCTCTGTGAGAGCAGAGGCCTTGTCTGAATTTTTCAGCATTGTATCCTGTATCTGGAATACAGACAATCAATAAACACATGCTTGTTGGATTGTTAGTTGTCTCTGTTTGGCCTAAGTCGTCTCTGTTCAGCCTGAATAAAGTATGGCTTTGGGTAAATTATTCTATAAAGTGAAGAATGTTCACACATTCTATTAATTACAATAGCTTTGGTCTGTATTCTTTAGGGGCAAGGAGAGGCTAAGGGTCTATGTGGCAATCCTAGATTCTAGCACCAACTCTTCCTAAGTGGCTTTCAGCAAATCACTTGCTGTTTCTGGGCCTTTGATTTCAGAATGAAACATTTCAGAATGAACAATTTGGATTCGGTGACTTTAAGATCTTTTCCAGTTCTGCAAGTGTCATTATATAGTCTGCCTAAACAATATAGAATGTTTCCCAGTATGACCTCCCAGCTTCAGAAACTGGTTTACATATTGTGTCCCAAAGATTCTTATCTCCTCCATTTTCATCTATGCCTTTGCTTGGAAAATTCATTCATGTCCTTTCTATTTATATAAATCCTAAACATCTTTAGAGGTTTAGTTCAAATGCCAGCTCCTCCACAAAGACCTCTATAACTATACTGGCTCTTACTCATACCACTCATTGGGAATTTATAAATTACATGTGCAGAATGTTACTATGTACCAGGCATTTGCTTCATTTAATTATTATATCTCAGCAGATACTAATTTGCCCCATCTCACAAAAAATGGTACAAATTCGTCTTAAAATCAATTCTATTAGACTCCATGGCCCCATGCTTTACTGTTTCTGAATCTACCTGTATATGTTAACAGAGCCAATTTTTAACACATGGCCAATATTCCCTGCTTAGTTTCAATGAGTCCAGGTTTTGTCATTTAAATAAAAATATTAAATGAATAATAAATGAATGAATCAATAGACATGTGAATGAAATATCCCCAATATTAAGGGAAAGTTGTGGGGTAGGGAGTTAATATTTTTTTGAGGTCCTCCTTTTATCATGCATCTGGCTAGGTCATATATATGTAATGTGTGTGTATATATATTACATATAATATATATGTATACACATAGTCCCTTTTTATCTTCAAAATAATGTTACCAGGTAGAAACTGTCACTGCCCACTCTGCAGATGAGGGGATTAAGACCCAGAGAAAGTAAGCATTTCAACCATGGTTAAACAGCTAGTTATGAGTTGTGGGTAGAGCTGGGAATTCAATTTAGGTCTTCTGCCTCCAAAGACAGCACACTACCCACTACATTATAGCCTCTCAGCAGTGATTTGCATATAATAGGTTGGCTCAGTGGTCCTCCACATGGGGTCAATTTGTCCCCTGGTGGTTTGGCAATGGCTGTAGACACTTTTGCTTGCTACCACTGGGCAAAGTGTGCTGCTGGTATTCAGTGGGTAGGAGGCCAAGGATACTTCTAAACATCTTACATGCTCATGACAGCCCCCAAAAACAAACATTAATCTAGCTTGAAATGTCAATAGTACTGAGACTGATACATCCTTGAGTACCTCAAGGAATTTACTGATGATGTAATACCATTTTAAAAATATAATACAGAAGTTTCCCCTTATTCACAGGGGATATGTTCCAAGACCCCCAGTGGATGCCTGAAATCATGGATAGTATTGAACTCTAAATATACTATGTTTATTCATATACATACATACCTACGATAAATGTTAATTTGTAAATTAGGCACAGTAAAAGATTAACAACAATAACTAATAATAATATAGAACAATTATAACAATACACTGTAATAAAACTTATGTGAATGTGGTCTCTCTTTTTCTCTCTCAAAATATCTTATTTTAGTTTACCAAAGGTAACTGAAACCATGGAAAGTAAAACCACAGATAAGGGGGTACTGCTGTACTTCAAAACACATATAAACATGAAGGCTGTATTTAATGATCTTCCAACTTCTAGCCATCACTGGGGAATTCAGTCATCATGCAACTATATAATTAGTATAGTGCCAGGTAGCTCAGCTATTACTGTAGGGAAAACTTGTTCAATTGGTATAATTGCAAAAGTGGAATCAAGAAGACATGAAGTGACTCAACCTTTAATCATTTTGTGGAAGCTATGAAAAGGAAATAGGCTGGGCCCAGTGGCTCAGGTCTGTAATCCCAGCACTTTGGGAGGCTGAGGTGGGAGGATCACCTGAGGTCAGGAGTTCGAGAGCAGCATGTCCAATATGGTAAAACCCTACCTCTACTAAAAATTCAAAAAATTAGCTGAATATGGTAGTGGCACCTGTAACCCCAGCTACTCAGAAGGCTGAGGCAGAAAAGATGCTTGAACTCAGGAGGCAGATGTTGCAGTGAGCCAAGATCACACCCCACTTCACTCCAACCTGGACAAAAGAGTGAGACTTCTTCTCAAATTAAAAAAAAAAGGAAATAGACCAGGAAAGTTACAATGTGATTCAGAAATGGAGCTAGAATTCCAGGC